AGCTGCAGTCTGGAGCAGCATCACCCAGATGTTATCATCACTGACCTCAGCTCCAGGATCCAGCCAACAACTGCTCCCACAGAGCATTTCCCAGGGCAGCTTCATGCTCACCCCAAAAGAGTGAGAGAGCTCAAGAGAGGTTTCCTGAAGCTGGAGCAGCCCAAGAGCACACTCTCAAAGCCAGAGGAGCATTTGTTTGACACCAGCAGAGGAGCCTGTGCTGGTTCAGGAGGGTCCACAGGCTTGGCCTGCCCCACCTCCTGAAGTCTGAACCCTACAGAATGTAGGAACAGCACTAAGGCATTCTCCAGACCCCAAACAGACAATGAATTATGGGGTGGCACTGCAGAAGGAAGCATGAGATCCTGAAAATCTCCATCTAAAATTGGGGGTGTTCTGAGACTCCCTGAATTGTTCAGTCAAATCCATCTGGGTCTGATATACACTCAGGTTGATACTTTCCATCTCTTTTGTCAATGTATGCAAGTAGAGTAAAATAAATTGTCTGTTGGAATTGTGACAGGAAGAGTATTTTCTATTAAAGTCCCCTCTGATCAGAACTCCCATGCAGTCAACAACTGCATCTTCCTGATACTTGGCTGTCAACTTTCTAAATCTCAGATGTCAGTGAGATTTACAGCATTCCTGCTGGGCTCCCCAGCCAGATTCTGAAGAACCATTCACTCTTACAAACAGGAGCTGGCAGCCTGTAAATAAACATAATGGTGGAATTGCTAATAAGCTCTGTTTCCACCACAAGCTGTTTTCAACATGAATTCCACGTGGCTGACCATTTCCCACCACTCACCTCTGCAGCTCAAAGAATCCTTCTATGGCAACTTTTGATCCCATTAAAGTTCTTGAAATCACACACCTAAGTTAAATTTCCATCTGATCATTGCAGCAAGCTTATTATTAAGTTGGGTTGCAATAAATGAATGTTTTATATCAGTGGCTGGAACTTGCAGTGTCACAAGCACTTCTCCACCTTACCACAAGTACTTGGCATTATTGCTTACGCAGGGAATGCAGGCAACTGCTCTGCCACCACAACTCTCCCACGTATTTTTGACAATTATGGCACACAGGCATTTCTAACTTTTGGATGTTCTGTAGTGGTTGGTTTCTGCAAAAGTTGAAGTGATAAACTTTCATTAATTTATAAACTTTGCCATACAATACTCATACATACACCCATTGGAGAACAATTGTTAGGAATTGTAGAACACACAGATCAACTGTGTCATGGTGTGATCTCAGCAAATTGCTGCCCTTGCTGGAAAATCAGCAACTGCATTAATAGCAGGCAAAATATCCTCAGAAAAAATTCAAAAGGAACAGGAAAACAACCCACCAGAATCTGCAGAGCCCATTGATAATTAAAGGCTGAAGAGAGCACTCACTGAGGCAGAAAAGCCAGGAGAGATCTCAGGGGCAGTTTAGTTTAGTTGTAGTTCCACACCAGACTTTTTACATCCCAGGGATGACTTGCTACTGATATAAAATCACCAGATAAGTAAAACCCAAAAATGCACTGCAGAGATTATATAAAATATCCATATAAATAACTGTGTGAACGACACCATACACAATACAGAATGAATAAACTTATCCACAGATAAACTACTTTCTCATTTGTGCTGCCTAGCTATTGAAGCACATATATGAGTGTTGAGGAAATTAATTTTATCCTTTCTGCAGAAGAGATCATGGATTGTAAGTGACCCAGTCTCTTATTGTGTGAAAACAGTACATTAATACTTCTGACTTGTCATTAATCAATACATCACTAGCAAATTATTCTTGAAATTAAGCTGTTGCAACTCACACTGCTGAAGCAAAAAGATTTAGAGGGGAGAGAGAGGAGGCTGAAATAAAATGAGATCCAATCCAAGGAGCTGTGCAAGCTGCTCAGGATGGAAAGGGAAACTGCATTTCCCAGCTACACAAGGAGAATCACTGGGGCAACTCTGACAAGATTCAGTCCATGGAAAACATAAAATACAATGTAAAAGAGAAAATGCTGAAAACTCCCCCAGAGCATTCCAGTGAAGCAGCACATGGCCCAGCACTTGCACAGGGGAGAGGCAGTGCCTGCATGTTTCTGAATCAGCAAGTCTAACAGGCAGATATTTTGTTTCAGGGGTCAATTTTCCCATTGATGCAAGGAGGATTTACACATGCAAGTCCCATTAACATTAATAGGAGTTGCCCACATAAATCCCCCTGCAATGATGGGAGAAAAGACCCCATAGTCTGCAAGGATCCAAGTTCTAATGATTACCTGTCAAATGGCCCTAAGCATCATCATCAGCAGAAAAAGCAGACGAAGCAGCTTCCAGGCTGGAAATGCCTCCAAAGGAGCAGTAACCACCTGCACTCCCACAGCCCAGGCAGTGCCACAGGAGGGAAAATGGCATCAAATGGACTCTTTGAACATGAAGGGTTAATCCAATTAAGCAACTTAAAAGAAAGTACTCATTAAAAAAGGAATTCAAACATATCAAAGCACTCCTTAGGAAAAAAAAGGTGTGAATATTGTATGAGCTCCAAGGTGCTTGAAGGATAATACAGCTACTTGTTTAAAAATTCAATTAACCTTATCTTTCTTTAACTTGATTTATTAATAATCCTACAGATAAATTGCCAGTTTTTAAAAAGTCATGTTATCTTTTGAATACATCCTGTATGACAAGCCTTAAAAACGACTTCAAATAAGGCTAACCCTCACTTTGCATCATTTAAAGAAAGAACAAAATGCAGTTCAGAGCATGATTTCTGTAAAATACCAGCATCAACAGTCTGATCTACTGCTCCTGCAAGTGAGCTATTGGGTACCCAAGTACCATAGGAAAAAACATTTAATGTTTCCATTCACCCTATGAAAGAGACATGAAAACAGTTTTTAAGCAATCAATGTAGTGGAAAGTCACATCTGCAACGAGTTCATCATTCCATCAGATCCCAGATCAAACCTGAGCCACTCCCAAACCTGGCTTCACATGGACAAGAGCACTCAGACATGAATTGATAGGAACCTGAAAACCAGGTACCCATATTGGCAATTACATGTCCTTGTGCTGGAAGCAGCCCAGAGAATCCTCAGGAAACCCCAGCTAAAAGTGAACTGGTTTGCTTTGAAAAAAAGTTGAAAGAAAACACAGGACCACGAACTTGCAAGCAAACCTTTAATTTTCATCAAGAGATTTCCTTGTAAACACAGATGAGAGATTCAACTATGATCCCTGTTTTTGTGAGACAGGGATAGGTCCCTCCAGTCAGCTCTTTTTACAGATCTGCAGATGTTAAATAAAATCATACACCCATGCTTCCCAATACACAGAAAAATTACAGCTAAATGGAGAGGCAGCCTGCTTATTAATATATATATATTTATATATATAAATAACTGCTCAATCACAAGCATCCAGAGGTTACAGCTGCTGAACACTGGGACCATTCCAGCCACGTGTTTGTCTGAGCACTCTGGATTATGCACACACACACACACACACCAGTACCTGTCCAACACAGGAGCAAACACTAACCCTGAAATGCAGACTGGACAGTGGGCACCATGCAGGACAAAGAGAACAGTATCAGTTATGCTGTAAAAAAATAAATAAATTCCCCTTCCTGGCCTGGAGCCAGGCTCAGGGCAGGCACAGGCACCACAGGGCTGTACAGAAGCCTGGCTGTGGCATGGCCAGGCAGAGCTCAATGTTCAGGACTCAATGGCATTTTTGATTTACTTAAGTATTTAAGCACTCCTGGAACTGGCTCTACCCTCCTGAAGAAGTTTAAACCCCGACTCATCAACTCAGAGATACTACTGATCTACTGGGTGTGCATTTTAAAGTAAATAATTAAGTACATGAGAAATACTTTTCAGATCTGATTTCAAGCATGGTTCAGAAGAAGTGCAAGTTAAACATGGTCATTTCCAGCAGCTTTCTCATTTTGTAGTTTTTTTCACACAAACTAGGTTTATAAATAGTTGAATAAATTTTATTGTATAAATGCTTCATGGTTTATCATTACAAAATGCATAGTTTACAGCTATCACACTAATTTTAATCTATTAACTGGGATCAATACAAACCTTTGGAATTATCAGTTGAACCTTCTCTCCACCACAAACCCCCTCACTGATGATCATTTAAACTTCTCAGATCCTAAACTTCAAAAAGTAACTATTGGCTTAGTAAAGGCCTAAACTGTGCAACAAATCCAGGGAGACTGAGAACAGGAATGCTCCATTTATGACTGAATTCTGTTGGGAAATCTGGCATTAAGTTTAAATTCTGCCATTTTCCTGACTCCAGTAAATGAAGTCACTAGAGAAAATGTGTCATCTGTTAGGTCTTACTTAAAAATCTGAATGTAAAATAGTTCTATCCATCTTCTGGATTATATTTCCTATTTGATTATGGCATCAGTTTCAAAACCATACAATAAAGCCACTGCAGAACTGTCAATATTATTGCCTTTAAATTCCATTCATAAGGCCACTGTGAAGGACATGGTGAGCCTCACCTTCAGCTGTTTAATTAGCAGAGATCCAAGGATTTTTAGTAGAAATCACTTTCTAACTGGCAAACAAACTTGCACTTTTTTCTTTTTGCTTAGTTTTGACTTCCTCTTTAAAAGACTGAGGATTCTTTCCAAGATGGAAAACAAAACCAAATTATCTCAATAAATCATGAATCCTTATTTTAGCACTTTCAATTCAGATGCTTCATTCTGTATTTTTGTTTAGCTACAAACCCCACTGGATCTGGTGGACCTGTGACTGTTTAGAAATGTCTCAGCTACTAATGAAACAACTTTAAAAAATGATCCAAGCTAAGGAAAGTAAGGCAATGGCAAATAACACATCTCTGGGGGTTTTAAACCTCTTTTTCTTACCCTTCCTCCCTTATGTCGTAGTTTGGGTCTACCTGCTCTTCTCCTAAGAGAACACTGTTCTTCATTCATTCATTCATTCATTCATTCATTCATTCATTCATTCATTCACTCATTCATTCTTCCTTTGTAACAGCAGCACCACCTTCACTACTGCTCTCCTCAGCTGAGGTTTCAGGCTTTGTCTCTGGTGAATTATTCAATCCAGACTCTTCTGGCTCAATCTCATCTTCATCATAAATAATATCTTCTGGATTTGGTGGTGGGGGGCAAAACTCCTCTGCTGGAAACATTTCTCGGAAAATAGTCTCAGCCTGTTCAGGAAAAAGAAGAATAACATAAACTTTACCTTGAAATGTTACAGCCTGAGGCAATATTTTACAGATATTTAAGATTAACCTGCGTTCTTTCAAATCAATAGTGATTTAGTGCTTTGACAGTATTGTAAACACATGGGAAATCCATTCCTTCTTGCAGACCTCCAAAGAGAAAAAGCAATTTATCTTTTTACATTGTTCTACTAGGAAGTCACAGCATAGGGCTTTGTAAAAAATGCTGGTCATTCTGTGCTGCACTGAGAACAAGAAAGAGGATTTTTCTGGAAGCAAACTGATCTCTTGCACTATAAAACCATCCCTAGCTGCAGTCCAAGGCAAAACATGGGGAAGATCTTGGCTCTTTCCAGAGAGAGGGATCCATTTCAAAGGAAACCCAAGGAATTGAACACATGAACAATCCATATCATGGCTAGATGGGTTTCCTTATTAAATTAAAAAAACTGCAAAAAATTTCTATTTCCCCTTTTCTGAACAGCTTAAACACTGCCCAGCTCAGACCTACTCTTATCCAATGAAACATTACCACTGAAAATACATCCCCATACATCTGTGGTTCATTTAAAACTCCTGTTTATAATTCCAAGGTATTAGACAATAGTTTCTTCAATATTTAGTAGTATCAACTGAGAAATGTGTGTCCAGTTGAACCCACCATTAAGACAGGCATGTAAAGCCCTTGCACAGCAACTCCAGTAAGTTGGAGCTGAATAAAACTCAATTCTGTTCCTGTTTTTCTGCATCCCAACTTGTGGATAAACTGTGGGGACTTTCACAGCAACTTCTACAGGGACCACGACCAAAGTACCAACACCTGATTAACTCAGAAATCCTTCCAGATATAGAAAATAAACAGGTTAAAGGACAAATATTGGCCTGACAGTTTTAGTACATCCTCTCCTGACCATGAAGATGCCTCAGAAGTCTGAAATATGTCAGGGAATATATTACTCTAGCTCCTAATAATTCATGTCAGGTTGCAGCAGTGAAAACAGAAAACTGGAAGCCAGATGCTTTACTAGATCCACACAGAGGGAGTTTGAAAAGATCATAAATGGCATCTTCATTTCATTTAGCCTGTCCTCAGGGCAAGTAAATGCAAGCATCAGCATTAATTCAGTATCACTCCAGGAACTGAACACAGAACTGCAAAAAAACAAGAGGGCAGTGATTTGGAAATGAGGTGTGGATGGAGAGTTGTCTGTAAGAGCTGTGGTCCTGCCTTGCCAACAATGGATCAGCAGTGCAATCACACAGCATGACAAACAAATCAGTAATACTGATGGCAATGAAGAAAATAAATCACAGCAAGTATCACTAAAACACTAATCCCAAAATGATTAGAGAAATCAGATATAATTTCCCAAGCTATCTTTAAGACTAATACACACACTGGGGTTTTTTAAGCTGTTCTAATCCATGAGTTTGCAAATATCTCCTGTTTGGAGATTGCCATCCCATTCCTGGGAGGGTGAGAGTGATTTGGGAGTGGAAGACACACCCACTTGGAGCTACTTCCCTCCTCCACTTGTCTACAAGGTCCTGCATGGTGTGACTCCTGCTTCATCTTCAGCCTCCTCTTCACTTTGCTCTCACACACCACTTCCAATTATAAACATGGTTACACTGAAGTATTTTCCACTTTAACTTGGTTTGTGACCATTTGTTACAAAATTTAAGTCAGGTTCAAAGAAATGCAGCCTCTCCCTAGTTTGGCTAAAAAGTGATTTAGGCTCTTCATGGTTCCTCCTCAGAGATCTGCTCAGCATCTCCCTCACTGATGGCCAACAGATTGAACATAAAGGCTGAATTACAGCACCAAAAACACTTAAACAGGGCCTGATCTATCCCATCATTGTTCATTGGTAAGAAGAAAGCTTCTTAAGGGAAGACAAACCTGAATGTTAGAAATGTTAAAATCAGAAAAAGCCCTGCTTTAAATAACAGTCTGAAAAAATTAAATTTAGAAAGGAACTCATTTCAATTTAAAACTGCTACCATAATAATTGTCTTGCATTATTTTTTGTCTTTACAAGTCTTTATCCCTCTGAGAGGCAAATTATTGCCTTGTAAAGCAAAATGAAGGATACTATTAGCCCTTAATGACACTGTTCTGACCCTGCAGTTCAGGCTATGTCAGCCTTTCCACTTCAAAACCTTATTTTTAAGAGGTTTATGACTTAGTCATAAAAAATCCTGCAACTGGCTAGAAGATGGCATGCACATTGTCTGAACATGGCTATTAAAAACACAGCTTTAAAAATGCCTGGTGGCACTTAATCCTCCAAAGCTGTGAAGGGCTCTCCTGTCTGGCAGTGCCCTGACAGCACAGGGGCTGCTGGGGCAGATCTGCCCAGGAATTTGTTCCTCCTTAGCCAGGGGGTCTCTGAAAGGAAAATTCTTTAATGCAGTGATACCAAGGCAAAGAGAAGGAAAGCTGAGGCAGGAGCTACCACATTAGGAATTGTGCTGGGTTTTTCCCCAGTAAGTTTCTGGTTTGGGATTGTGTCCTGCAAGTATTGAACCTCTTTGGTGATCCTTCCCACTAGAACTGCAGACAGGATTTTCTGGCTTTGCTTTGTACTGTACCTCCTCCTGTACCTTCCAGTTAAAAGACTGTGACTATTTACTGATGTCTCCATCTACCTAGTTTTATAATTTTGGCAGAGTTACCATGTATATTTTTGTATAGCAGAATACAAAAGACTGTACTGGACTTATTTCTTTAGAATTAAAGTTCTGCAACCAAAATCTGCTCTGCCCAACCTGATTGACAGCACAGTCATTTCCCAAAGCAGAGTCTGGCCCAGAGCAGACATAAACATTGGAGGGTAAGCCAGCATAGGAACTCCTCTCAACTCCTGAGGAATCTCTCATGTTGAAGTAGACTGCCCAGAGGACTCTGGGTTTCTCCAGTTCTTCATTTTCAGTCTCTGAAAGGAAAAAGGAGTGTTTGCAGTAATCAGTGTTGTTCTGTGATAAGGTAAATATGTAATCTAGAACACCGAAAATCAAATTTTTATCATGGAATTACTGTAATAAAAGTTTGAGGTTTTTTTCTTCAAAATGCCAATTATTTAACTTTCTGAGATTCTCCATCATTCTTCCCCTTTCCTTTCCAAGCACAGCTATGCAGACTCTACTCTCTCTGCACACCCTCCACCACACCAGCAGCAGTTAGCACTGCCAGCACCCTACCTGGTTTAAATTTAAGCCTGGTTTAACTTTAACACCTCTCACATGATCTCCTCCACTGGGACAGACTGCCAGAGCACTGCCAGACAGCAAGTCCTGCCTGGGCTCTGCCAGCTCACAGGCACTGCACTCCCTGTGCACAGATATTCTGATGGGTTCATACTTTATCTTTCTGCAGAGAATCTGTAATTGTGGCAGTGCTGCTGAATGAAAATAAATGTCTAATTTGTATTTATCTACACTTACTGAGGCTGGTGCTGTGCTGCAATACTCATCAAGAATACAAAATGATCACAAACTCATTTCCTTGCTCATGCTCTGTCCCTCCCTGCTGTACTTTCCACTGCACAGATGTGATCCCTCTGCACAGAGAGGCAGAAAAACCTCTGGAAATATGAAGGTCACTTTTGAACAGTGCACAGTGCAATGGGGGAACACACAACATAGAATCTGGGCTTAATAGATACTATCTGTTTGGAATATTTGCTGCCCCCTTTCTTGTATTTTACCTCCTCTAAAGTAAATAAAGCTTGTAAAAGACCTTGTGAGATTTACTTCTTTCCAAGGAAAAAACTTCTTGATAACTGTGGCATTCAAAACAGTATTTTAAAGCAGCTGAATTACAAAAAAAGAGATAAATCTATGCTATTCCTTCAGCATCTTTTTATAACTGTCAAATAGTTAAAAAAAATAGGTGCTACCCATACTGAACAGTTTGAAATATAAATTAAATTCATCAGCCTGTGAAAGTCTGAGCCTTAATACAGGGCAAGATGCTCTTTAATATATTTAAAAGTTCACATTGCTCATAAAAGTTACTTCTTCCTCATTTAGGCAGGAAAATGAATGGAGTCCTCTTCTCCAGGTGACTTTGCCTCTTTGACCTGCCATGGCCCAGTGCTCACTTTATCTGGTGATTCATTTTCAATAACTCCAACAGTATTTGTTCTGACATTTTAATTAAAATACGACCACTACCTCATCCTGATGATAAAAAGGCCTATGTGTCAGGGAAAAGTGGCTTCTCAGTGCCTCAGTGCACCTGAGGACCCCAATGATCACAGAGTTCCTACAGAAGAATTTCAGTCAGCCTCTAAACAATCTATCATTTCCAACCTGGATCACTTCAAACATGAAGATTAATGCTACCCCCCCCCCCCAAATGATTAGAGACACTAAGCTGATCTTCTCTTCACCGGGTCTTTGAAACACATGGCACTGTCTTGAAAATTGAAGAGGGGAGTGAAATATTAAAAGGTGGAAATTAGAAGGCTCTAAGTTAACACATCTACGAATGAGACATGTTTGCAACTCTCCAGTCTAATAAAGATTTCTATTTACAAATCTAAGTTGTTTCCTAATATTACAAGCAAACCAATTATGAGCATTATAAAGTACTCCCACATCTCAGTAACCTGCATTTATACCAACAAACCCCTGTCAGTGGGAGCTGAGCACTGTTTTCTCTCAGAAATGTGATTTATTGCCTTGCAGCAGGGGCACACTGGATTTAAACTGTGTTTGCCAGGGTTAGAGCACAGCAGCAGCTCCCACATGCACATCACCTACTCTGTGAATATTTACCACAAATATGGTTCCAGTCAGATCTCAGGATTAAATGTCAAAAACTTTTGTGGAATTAGCCCAGGTATTTCAGGAACAATTTCCTTCTGCTCCAGCAGCAGCTGCTCTCCTCTCAGATATAGAATTGTTCATCTCAAGGCCAAAGTTCAAAAAGTAGCCAAGGTTTCCTTGAATTTAGGGCCAAGTAGTTCATTATTGGAAATCTATCTTTGTGATTACAATCTAGAACAACTTTATGGTTCCACTGCTTACAGCAGAATCCAGAAAAATTTCAATTCAAGCAGCAAACAAGGAAACACTTGAAGACAAGAGGCTGAGTAACAGCCTGAGAATAAGAGGCAAGAACAACTCAAGAAGCTTCCACAATTTCAAAATATTAAATTTCACTACTGCACCTTCCAAGGATGTGCTGAACAGCAAATTTGTTTCATGGAGAAAAGAAAGTGTGAAAAAGAAAGTGTGAAAACACTTATGGTCATGTCCTTGGATACTGAAGTTAAACCACAGCTGAAGCAGTCAGTAACAGCTACTACAGTGAATTGTATTTATGAAAGATTGTATCATAATACCTCATTTATTTATTTTTACCTTTTTCTGTATTTAGATTGAATAATTTCTGTACAACAGGCTCTAAATCTTCCCTTGCAGTTTTAGTTGATGGACAGGTTAGATGGACCAAATCTGGGAAAAGAGAACACAAACTAATTCCAATCACCAACACACAGAGATAAACAACATTTACAACTTTTAAAAGGCACAGCAGCTTTTGGAAATCATAATTCTTCATAAAACCTCTTCCTTTAAGCCAGAGAAGTGCTGTACCATGGATATACAGGGTACATAAAGCACACAGAGGAGTTCTCTGGGAACACCTGAGAATTCTCCAAGTCACTCCCATGATGCACACTATGACTGTGCAATCCTTTGTACAACAATTTATTCATCCACTTCTCAGATGGGAGGAACTATTGCTGAACTATTCCTTTATTTGTTCTGTTTCCCTGCTCAGATCCGGAACCAGCTGCTTCACCCCACCTGATTTTCCAGCCATTCATTCATTTAAAAGCCTCACCTTAAAGCTTTTCATGAAATCACCTTGCTGGACTCATTTGCTCCTGGAAACTTCACCAGAGAAGTCTCCATCAAAGAATCCTGAAGGAATTTAACACTGTACAAAGTTTAAACTGATTTTTCTTCAGTATTGTAAATTTCTGATCCATTTAATTAATTTAATTTCTGATCCAGCTCTGGTATTATTTTAAATCTAGATGACATTTTTGTCTCTTCTCCCTGAAGCCTGGCTGTATTTGTTGTCATTATTTTCCAGTACATCACTCAGATCTTGACCCTGGTTCTGTCAGGAACAGAGATTTAACCCTTCCTGCTCCTCTGTTTTCAGGCTGCACACATATAGATTCTATTCAAACATTAATATTCATTTTTTTATTCAGCCCAGACCAAACCTTCTGTCTGAAGGAATATATAGAAAAATAAGGAAAAGGGTGGTGATAATCAAAGTCTCCCCCTAACCTTAACTAGATGCTTCCAATCCCAAACACTGTAATATAAAACCTATTCTTTCCTCAAAAAACCCAGCTATAAATCACTAAAGTTCACATCATTTACTTTCTATAAAATCTTTTTTATTATCTGTAGGGTTATGGTTATGAGTCACAGTCATCAGTATATATTTTGATTATATTTGATTTACTCAGGTATAACTGCATTAGTTACAGTGGTTGCCAACATTTGTCTTCAAGTAATTCTCCCAGCAGGAAGAACGATGAGCTCAGTTCCTGATTTCATCATTACAGTCTCCATTTTTAGGGCAAGTGAAGGAGTTTGGTTCCACTCAAGTGGCAATACAGATGATGTGCCTGTCATTTGTGCACTGTGATCAAAGAGTAGATGTATTTGTATACTTATCTTAAATAATTGTTCCAAGGAGAAATCAGTCAGGTTAAAACCCATTTACAGATAATGATGTAAAAGTTTTTTAAAAAATTATGAAATATGTCCCATAACTGGAACTCAGCTATGCCTAATATAGAACTTTATTATTTCAATATATGAAGACAAATTTCATTAAGGAAGGCAGTACCTACTCTTCTGAAATGAAAGGAATTGATGGAGAAAAGTAAATAACAGAAACCTTAATATTTCAGCACCATAAAAATCCTCCTGAAACGAATACTTTAGATCTATGGAACATCAATCTTTCATTAGTTTCACTTCCTGCTGTATATATCTTGAGAACCCTTCATAAAAAGAAATCAGCTATTTAAATGATAAATATTAACAATATGCTTTATAGTACTAAGGTATTAATTAATTACATGCCTATATTTTTTACTATTATTTAGTAGGAGATATAACTTTGAATGACTTAAGCCTTTACTCTTCTTTCATATGCAAAGAACTTAGTTCAACCCTCTTAACAGCAAAATAAATTGGTTATTATTACAGTTACTTCTTTCTTGTTAAAAAGAATTCGGTAAGGTAACTTCTAACTATTTTAATAAATAAACCAAACAAACATTTTATTGCTCAATTATTTTAAATTCACATAAAACACCAACAACAGAATCCTTTCAGAAGGTAAAAGGCTCCCAAATATATTGTAGTTCAGGCATTTCCATTTAATAGTTCAGCTAAGGGAGCCCATTTTCAAAAAAAACAAATGACAGATTACCAGGAAGATCCGTGTGCTTTGGATTATTATTTTTATCTCCTGAAGGAGGATTTATTCCTGTGTAAGTGAAAATGAGCCCATGAAGCCCCATGATAGCAGGCAGCCATGGCTCCCTGTGTTCTGTGCAGCAGAGGAGGAACACCCAGAGGTTTTGAGTTGTGCTCCAGAGCTGCCAGAGCCAGAGGGAAAATCTCCTTTACTTACAGGTGTCCTTCATGCACGTCATGGTGGAGGAGCAGAGCTCAATGACACGAACGGCCGCGCTGCCCGGCTCCAGGGGAGGCACCGTCAGGATGGACACCTGGGACAGAAACAGGGCCTGAGGGACAGCACGGGGACACCTGGGACAGAAACAGGGCCTGAGGGACAGCACAGGGACACCTGGGACAGAAACAGGGCCTGAGGGACAGCACGGGGACACCTGGGACAGAAACAGGGCCTGAGGGACAGCACAGGGACACCTGGGACAGAAACAGGGCCTGAGGGACAGCACGGGGACACCTGGGACAGAAACAGGGCCTGAGGGACAGCACGGGGACACCTGGGACAGAAACAGGGCCTGAGGGACAGCACGGGGACACCTGGGACAGAAACAGGGCCTGAGGGACAGCACGGGGACACCTGGGACAGAAACAGGGCCTGAGGGACAGCACGGGGACACCTGGGACAGAAACAGGGCCTGAGGGACAGCACGGGGACACCTGGGACAGAAACAGGGCCTGAGGGACAGCACGGGGACACCTGGGACAGAAACAGGGCCTGAGGGACAGCACGGGGACACCTGGGACAGAAACAGGGCCTGAGGGACAGCACGGGGACACCTGGGACATAAAAGGAGCCTGAGGGATAGCACAGGGACACCTGGGACAGAAACAGGGCCTGAGGGACAGCACGGGGACACCTGGGACAGAAACAGGGCCTGAGGGACAGCACGGGGACACCTGGGACATAAAAGGAGCCTGAGGGATAGCACAGGGACACCTGGGACAGAAACAGGGCCTGAGGGACAGCACGGGGACACCTGGGACAGAAACAGGGCCTGAGGGACAGCACGGGGACACCTGGGACAGAAACAGGGCCTGAGGGATAGCACGGGGACACCTGGGACAGAAACAGAGCCTGAGGGACAGCACGGGGACACCTGGGACAGAAACAGGGCCTGAGGGACAGCACGGGGACACCTGGGACATAAAAGGAGCCTGAGGGATAGCACAGGGACACCTGGGACAGAAACAGGGCCTGAGGGACAGCACGGGGACACCTGGGACAGAAACAGGGCCTGAGGGACAGCACGGGGACACCTGGGACAGAAACAGGGCCTGAGGGACAGCACGGGGACACCTGGGACAGAAACAGGGCCTGAGGGATAGCACGGGGACACCTGGGACAGAAACAGAGCCTGAGGGACAGCACGGGGACACCTGGGACAGAAACAGGGCCTGAGGGACAGCACGGGGACACCTGGGACAGAAACAGGGCCTGAGGGACAGCACGGGGACACCTGGGACAGAAACAGGGCCTGAGGGACAGCACAGGGACACCTGGGACAGAAACAGGGCCTGAGGGACAGCACAGGGACACCTGGGACAGAAACAGGGCCTGAGGGACAGCACAGGGCCTGGGGGTGTGACAGCAGCAGCATCCTCACTACAGGTCAAAAAGAACTACACAGTTTCTAGTTTATTAAGACAGAACAAACACAACTCTGATTAATATGCTCTAAAATGAAGGACTGCAAAGACTGACAAAGCAGATCTAAAGATGCGTTTTAAAGTGAACAACGAGAACTTCAAACAGCAAAAAGAAATGTTTAAGAAAAACAAAGGAACTTGGAACAAAGTTTAGATAAGATAAATAATTAACAGAATAGTAAGGGTAACAGTTTATTAAAAAACAAGCAAAATTAAATTAAGGATAGCAGCTTAGAAATTCTATTAATTATAGTGTGAAGCAAGCAGGAAAAATCCCAGTCATTGAAGTAAACTGAACTAAAATTTGTAATAGTTTCATAGACACAAAACAAATTAAACAATTACCAGTACAGAAAGCTGAGTAAAGATCTTGATTCAAGGACAAACAAAACTGAATTAATGACTTAATTCCTACCAACAACTAAACATTAACACATGAGACAAGTGACACAGAATTGGTGTGTACCTGCTGCTCTGAGTCCGTGTTCAATACAGACTGATCTGTAATGAGGACTGCCCTGGAGATCTGCCTACAATTCAATAAAGGAATGATGATATAATTAATTTAATTCTGCAAAATGAAAACAAAGATGTAAAAATGGCAATTTAGAATCTTAGTTTTGGTAATACCAGGGCCATGTCACTATCTAACCTTTATTACTATGATTCTTAGTGTGATATTTTGCCTGTTGCTGAAGCAGAGGATCTGCTGATCCTCCCCTGCCCTGCTCTGACACAGGCAGGACCTGCCCAGGGCTTCTGCAGCAACAAGCAAATCACAGAAATCAAGGAACTCTAGGACTTGTCTAAAGCTGAGCAAATTTAAAGCAGGGACAGCAACTCCATCTACAAAACACTTTTTAGCAAATATGAAATTCCCAACACATTTAGAGCTCTTGGATTTGTTATATGGAAAGGAGGAATCTGATTTCAATGACAACTGAAGAAACCCTGACTATAGAAAGCACACAGGATATCCTCCAGATAACAGAGAAATACTTTGCTCAATATTGAACTGCAAAAATGGCTCCTCAATTTAACTTGCAGGGTACTTTACACACCATGATTTAAATAAATTGTGTTTTTTGTTTTGCCACATACCTGTAACATACATTGGTGCATGTGCTCTCTGAGAGGTAACTGTCTTCCACAATAAAATAGTTGGCACTTATTCTTTGTCCAAACTGATCCACAATAGCTTTGCACCTGTTTAAAAAAAACAAACCACAGTAAGAAATTTTGATTAAAGGTAACAAAAGCATGCATAAGTTGTTAAAATTGAGTTATACAGCACAATATTTGTATCTTTCATTAAATTCATTGTATTTCTTGAACATGTGAACCCCTAAACCAATTCAACTGATCACCAAAACTTAGACTGACACATTCTAGCTGGTGTATATGAAGTTTACACATGCAGTGCCAATACAGATAATGACATCCCAACTTTAATAAACTGATCACTTTTTACAGAAAATGTAAGCTTACAGCACTGGCATTTAGCTCTACATTTCTTACCTCATAATATGTAAAAATAAATCTGTGAATTATTTTGGAGTGGGATTTCTTTCTCAGAAAGACACCTTCACCAAAACCAAGTTTGTTTTGACAATAATATTTGACAAATTCAATAGCAAATTAACTCAGGAGATTTGGGAAAGCTCCCTGACAAATGAGTGCATCAGTGTGTTCCAAGTGTGAGTTGCTCTGTCTATGACTAAATACACCCTTTATCTCTGAGTGACACACAAAGGGATTAACTGAGTCCTGGTGCTGTGAGAGCAACACAAATGTTCTCCATAAAACAAGGACAGAAATAGAAATAGGACAGAAATGCAAACCACAGAAATGAACCCATTCAGTGAACTTAAATGAGAATACAAATTTCAGATTCTAAGGGGGAAAATTCTCTCTGAAAGGACAAACTTCACTTATGTATGACATACAAACCTGCATCATATACATGAGACAAAGAAAAAGGAGGCTGCACACAGATACTCAGTAAAGCCACCTCTGCTGCTGATTCTATATCCATGATCTGTGCTCTCTTCTACACTGTCAGAACATTTAGTTCATAAATAAATAAAGCAAATTAGCTTTACTGGACTTTTTCTTGGGGCATGAAAATCACCTTTTTTAAAACTAAGCTTTCTGAATAACTTTATCAGTGTTTCAACAATTTAACACACAGTGATTGAATTCACTTAAAGCAGTGAATTTTCTCACACACACTTACACAAGTGTGCATGCACAGGGAAACACCCAAAGGAACACAATGCCTGAGCCAGAGATATGTGCAGATTTACCCTTTTATCATAGTGCAACTTTATCTGTGGAATATCTGCAAGTTATGCCTTAGGAATGAACAACATTTCTGTAACTTCAAGCTATTTGTCAGCTTCTGTGATTATAATGATCTACAAAGCCAAATCTAAATAAGTAACAGCAATCAGCTCCACCAGCTCTGGTAAACCAGCTGTTCATATAACCTGAGATGAGAATTGAAAAAAGGTGACACACAGTCCTCATCTGTAAATGTAAGAGGTTTATGACTATTAAACATGTTTTTGTAACACTGACTTCTAATGCTGACCTCCCAGGCATCTGGTCCCTACATATATTCCTGTTTTAAATTCAACAGGCACCTGACAGCAGTACAAGCACTGTTTGACATCCAACATGCTTCAGTTTCAAATCCTTTCCAATGTGTGTTTCACTTGCAACTTTAACAAGTTTTTCCTAACTGTTAATCCCAGTGATTTCATCCTGGAGCTCTCATTTGAATACTGCAAATAAACAAGGAAGTCGAGCTGCTGCAGCTCATTTCTAATTATAACCTTTCTTATTGTTTATGAAACAATTTCCCCACCACCCCCCAACCATTCTGAAAGGGGAAAGGTTGATTAAATGTCATGTTGCATCACTCAAAGCCAGCAAAAGCAACGACACATTTTATTTTGCTGCTAAGTGTTGTTTCCTCTCCTTTTTTCAGGAATAGCAGCAGGTCATATGTGTGATAAGATTTGAAACTGAGAGAGAGAGAGAGAGCTTTTCATTTCAGTCCCACTTCACTTCAAAGGGTGATGCTGAGAAAATTTCTTTCAAGTAGTGCTTCCACATGCAGCAAACACTCCTGCACTGACATTATCAGGTCTCTGTCATCTGATCTGTGTTGCGACAATGAATCACAGCCAACCCTCCATTGACCTTCTTTCAATGTGTCTGGATAAAAGGATGAAAATTAGAATCCATCTCCTTGCAGTGCCACGAGTTATAAATGTACTTTATAGGGCTCATTATCCAAACTAATGGACTAAGGGCGACATCCTTGAAATGGACTCAGCAGCACTGCCAAAGCCAGGCTGCAGTATTTCAGCAGATATGGAAATTACTGCCTGTTTGCTCTGTCTTCTTATCACAGATGTATAAATGGCCATTCATCACATCTCTTCCATTTTGAGACAGAATTATGCAATTGGAAACATATGTGAAGTGTGATCAATATAAAATGCCCAGCATTACGATGAAATTTTACATGTACCCAAAAAAGTGACACACAATAAACACAGAGAAAAACAACATTATCATACATTAAATGTGGTTTTTTTTCCTTAGCCTCAGAAATACAATGTTCCACAGCCTCAGAAATACAATGTGGTTTTTATTTTCCAACAGAGCATCACAGTTCAGGATGTCCTACAAACTTATTAAAACAGCAGATCTGGTACCATGCATAAAAACTAGATATTTTCAAGTGCATTACTAAAACCTTAAAATAGGGATGTCTAAAATTTCTGTTCTTTCACCCTGTCTTGCCTGAATCTTATTTTCAAAAATTATAAAAAGACCTACAGAAAAAGGTTAAAAATAATTGTAGAGCTGGGTATGAAATCTACTGTTCTCTGTAGATACAGGCATGGGTAGGAAAATGTGAAAAAGCAATGTTAGCCACATTGAGAAAAATGCTGGAATAAACTTTAAACTCTAGTTTAAAAGGAACTAGAGTTCCTTTTAAAGCCTGGTGATATTCTGAAACTTTTAATTAAACTCTAACAAAAAAATTTAGAAGAAAATCAAGGCTGTAGCTAGAAGTATGTATTTTCCTTATGTGTACTAAACCAGGAATATTAAAAATAGAGAAAAACTCCCTGTCTTAAGGCATGGATGCAGCCTGGAGAGCTGTGAAAGGAGCCATAAAGTGGTAATGAGCACTGCACAAGGCATTTCTGCAGTGCTGAGTGAGCCATCTGTAACCTGGGGAAGCTGCCTCTGCAGCACACAGCCAGCTGCACTGACAACCAGATATGAATTTGCCTCTTACCAATTACTATTAATGGTCTGTTGACTCAAAAGCTCAGTAACTCATAAATAGCCTCATTAACAACTTGATAGCTGATTTTTATTAGGCAAAACACTGAAGCCCAAAGTCAAGAGGAAATACAAGCTGGTGCAGGGGGGGAATACACAGTGAGGAAGGAGATAACAGCAAGAACAAAACAGAAGATAAAGGAAATGGATATCTTGGATGTGTTGTGCTCCTTCATACTCACTATCAGATAATGGCATTATTAAAAGCTCAGTGTTTTTGGAATAAAGAAAGTCTGGTAAAATCTTTAGAAGTATTTCAATAATTCTGCTCCTCAAAAATCTATCATTCTAAAATGGCACAAGTGAACCCCAAAAGCAGCCTAAAAAAAGACATTTGTGCTGCTTTTTTTTAAAACTGTATTCCAAACAAAGTCAGGTTAATGGAAAAGCAGCACTCCAGCTCTTGTGGGACACACATAACCTTATAAAGAAAATATTGATTTCAAAGATCTCCAGGATGTGCAGAAGCTGGAAACTGGGGCAAGCAGTGCCACTGACCAGTTAAGACCTGCACAGAGTGGGGTTTGGAAGTTGCTACCAACTAAAAGCTTTATCCCTCTGCAAGAGCAATTTAAGAATATAAACATTATTGGAATAGAAAACTTCCTACAGCAACAGTTCAAATATCAGTGTTAAAATAAATGCCAGTTCCTGAAAGGGGCACAGTTTAATTTGCATATGAATTGTGCATTTGGAAGAACACACCTGATGAAGCACATTTACATCTCAAAGTCTACAACTGTGCAGTGAACTCCAGAATCTTCAGGAACTGGCAGAAAGGTAAAATCTGGAGTTTATCCAGTTTCAGGGAGAACAGCTACTACTTGAACATGTCATGGCAAATGCAGCTACAAGGACTGTGCTCCAGGAATTGCAAAGGAGCTGGGAAATAAACTCACACCCCCTCATTTAACTACTCATTCTCCTAATACATTGGTACTACACCATTTCTAAATGAATTTTCTAAATTTTCTACAAAACATCTTGAACTTTTCAATTATAAACACTAACCTGCAAACAGAGTCTTTAAGACAGCCAAAGTCTGCAGTTAGACTAATATCTGATAAAATGTGTATAACAGAAATATGACAATTTACAGAGGTGTGAAAAATGCCACTATGGAAAAAACTCTGAGTTGATTTTTCTTAGCTCAACTTTAAATCTGCCTACAGGCCTGATATTGTTGTAAAAGAATTTATTCTGGAATAAGAGGGCAGCATAGTTTATGACAACAATCTACCTAAAAACTCATTAAAGTCTTTTCTCTTGGAGTGACATGCATTATCAGCAAAGATTAATCTGATGAGTCTTTAGGTGAGCTCCATTTTTAAAAATGCAATAACAGAGGGCTTTGTTGTCATCTGATGAAAATCAATTAGAGTAGGTAAGGCCACAAGGAAAACTAACATCACTCATCACCAACCCCCCGGCAGCTGAAATGATTTGTCTTCCAAGCTTGGGTGATCAGGAGCTGTAGTAATATCACAGGGAAATTAATTTAGTTTCTATATTCCAGACCCACTTTCCTCGTTCTGGAGGACCTATACACAAATTACTTTTAATCAAGGTTGATGTGTTATTAATACCAAGGAGGATCTCTGAAGAATCATTTTTTTTTCAACTGACTTGAGGCATTTTTCACCTGTGTTTTGTGTATAAACACAAGTTCCTGGTGCCCCTTACCGGCCCGAGGCTCTGTCCAGCACCAGGCAGCGCACGGCGTGACGGAGGCAGTAGATCCCCCCAAACACAGCACACAGCCTGCAACAGGGAAACACAGGTCATTAGTGCAGCTCTGCTAATTGCAATCAGCCTGAGTGGTCAGCAAGGCAAGGCTCTGAGGTGTTGGTAACACTGGTTTACTGACAGAAGCAAGACGTGGAGCTGCTGGAGCGCAGAGGAGGGCACGGAGCTGTCACAGGGCTGGAGCCAGGCTGGGAGAGCTGGGGGTGCTCACCTGGAGAGGAGAAGCTCCAGGCAGAGCTCAGAGCCCCTGGCAGGGCCTGAAGGGGCTCCAGGAGAGCTGGAGAGGGGCTGGGGACAAGGGATGGAGGGACAGGACAAGGGGAGGGAACAGCCTTAAACTGAAGGAGGGTAGGTTTAGATTGGATATATGGAAAACATCCCTCCCTGTGAGGGTGGCCAGGCCCTGGCACAGGTGCCCAGAGCAGCTGTGGCTGCCCCTGGATCCCTGGACGTGTCCAAGGCCAGGCTGGACAGGGCTTGGAGCACCCAGGGACAGTGGAAGATGTTCCTCCTATGGCAGGGGTGGCACTGGATGAGCTTTAAGGTCTCTTCCAACCCAAACCAGTCTCTGATTCTGTGATTTTGAAGTGAAAGCATTTTGTTTTATCTTCACAGATGACAAACTTGAAAACTTTCACTTTGCAAACCTGACTTCCAAAAATGGCATTATTCTGTCATTCTAATGCCAGATGAGCAGTTCAAAGACAGCCAGTCCCAAAACCCCTCTGAGCTGCAGGACAGGGACAGCCCAAGGAGCTGCCAGCACAACCATGGGACACCTGGAATACCCAGCTCCCTAAAAACACCCCTGCTCCTCATGGAAAACCAGAGATTCATCCCAAAAATCCCAGCCTTGGCTGTTTGGAGGTTGTTGAAGATGCCACAAAGGTTAAACACGAAGAACTCAGAGAACCCAGAGCTATGGGTTTATCATCTCTGATCCTGCAATCCACAGCCTCCTGCCTGACAGCAGCTATCAGCATCTTTCAAACCAAGTCAGAGGAGTTGATTTCATATCTTGCATTTAAGAATAGCACTATTAACTTAACTACAACTGGATTCCTTAGTTAAAAACATTAATTAGAGTTTTCCTTCAACCACAGCCAGGGGGTTTTGATATATGCACTTTATTTTTCCAGCGTGCTTTGAAAGAACTTTGCTGCTTGGCTGCACAAAAATGTGAATTATTTCTTTCCAAGAGTCGCCTGCTATCCAGGGGATGAGGGCATGACCAGTTTTCATAGGCCAGCAGAAAAGTTCTCTTTTAAAATGAAAATGGAAAGGAATTTTGATTGTGTTGCTGAACAGTCACAAACAGCCCAAACACCTCTTAGAACAGCCTAGCATGAAAAATGACACAGCTAGGAAGGACTTGCCAAAATTATTTAAATACAGAAACTGAAATATTCAACTAAATGGCACCCCAATAATTTATGACAAAGTAAAATCTTTGTGCTGGCATTACTTTCATACAATGGGCTATTCAGGATGATTTGACTGCACTTGAAGTACAAGCAACTCTTTGATAGCATTAACCCTCAATGACAGACATTTAAACTGATATTACTCTAATTAACTGGCGACTGCCTCCACCAATAATTCAAGTTTTGCTGAAAGATAGCAACAACACTGTACTCAGCTTCAACTCTGCCCTGCTGACATCAAATCATATTACAGCTAAATTAACAGTTGTGAAAATTTTTGGCCTGGTAGCCTTCCATCATACACAGCCTTTAAATGCCATTTCAGACCCCATCAAGGCAGAAATCAGCAGTTGCAATTTTTAATACAGCTGTGGAACAATAGGACATATTAAAAGCTGCATTTTTGACAGCATATTCGCAGTGATTTATGAGTTTGTATGTAATTTGATTATTCTATTAATTTTACTGATTACTGATTCAGCTAATACAGTGAAGGTCACTTACAAAATAAATCTTCATTACATTTCACAGAAAGTAACTGCCTCCAACTAGTTGTTTTCTTTAATTAAACACTAATGTAACAAGAGAGAAAATAGGCTTCAGGGTTGCTGCATCTGTTGATACAAGAGGAGTTTACTGCTTTGATGTAATGCTCTGTGATATTAATTGAACAAAAATAGAATGTCTCTCCATTTGACATCTCGATTTCCAGCACTGAGATACCACAAAAACACATTACAGACTTAGCCTTAGTTCACTCTGAAAGAATTTTAAAACTGTATCAAATAATTTTACACCAAAATCTAGTTTTTATTTCTAGCATGTAATTTGTCCTCTGCTTTCTACAATGCATGTTGTGATTAATTTAAAAATTGGCTAATTTTTAACTGTGCATTTTTTCTGTTGTAAGAACTACTTGTTTCTCTCCTTAAAGCTGAATACTCCATGCACAGCACTGCAAGCTTTGGAGAAAGATCAAAGAAAAACATGGCAAGTGCTGAGATAATGAATTGTTCTCTTTCAGTTTATTTTTACACACAGAGCAAGCTGTGACCTGGTTCTTATGTTAAAGTCTGTTTCCTGAAAGGCCCCTAGAACATCAGCCTTTCCTCCAATGTTCCAAAAACATTAACAGGTAGAGTGAACACAAATCAAATAAATAAAATAGCTACAGCTACAAAAAATGATGGTTTATCTTCCCAACACATGGTTCCCATACCAAAGTGAAAACTTGGTGTGTGCATCCACCTGGGTAACACCAAAAATCCACCCCCTCAAAAAAGCACCAAAAAGCTAATTAAAAAAATAATCAGTGTCATCCTGAACTCTCCTGGCATTTGGAGAGCTATGGAAAAGAAAATATGTGACAGAAATGCTTAGGGAAGCAGATGAAGAGTCAAATATTTTGACTTTTTCCTGCAGGCTGTGTTCATTATTCCTGTGAAATTTAAAAAGGTCCTGTAGGATTAGAGAAGCAGCCTATGCTCTAAATCCATCAGCAACATGACAATTGTACACCACTCACAAAGTTCTGCGCTCCCCAGCAGCACCCAGCTCACTCACAAACAGCACTTGGAGCCTGCAGCCCCAGGTAAGAGGATTTCCTTCCCCAGATCTCCCCTTCCTTCTGGAAAACCAGGCTGGGACTGGGAATGCTGCAGCAAGAGGAGCTGGAATGGCAGAGCTGGGGTACCGAATTTAACTTGAAAACGAAGAAATTGCTCCTTTTGGTTGTGTGGAATTTAGACTGCATATACAGAAATATCCATTCACATCCTGGGAAACATTCTAGCAGTGAACACTGCCAGTAAAACAGACAAGATAAAACCTGCTGGGCTTGGTTTGGGTTAGAGCACAAAGCTCCAGCTACTTATCCCTGACCCTACACAGACCCTCTGTGCACCTCGCTCCATAATTACAAAATTGGGGTAATTTCAGTCTATTTCATCAGAGTCTGGCAAGGGTTGATATTTATTGTTCAGGGATTCTGAATGATCACTTTGCACTCAAGTACAACTATTTCAGGAGTTTTAGCATTTGAGTTCCCATTATGTGATGTACAAGTTTTGGGGTTGGGGAAGTCACTGCTGCCTTTTACAGGCCCAAGATTCCAATTCCATTTCCCAAACTCAAATGTTAGAAGATAATGCAATAAAAATCTTAATTTATAATATATTTTTATGTTCCTATACTTCAGCCTCGCTTTGTGCCAGTGTAGATTTCTTAGGGTGTTTCTAAACCTGAGGAAATTCTGTTGACAAAAATAAGACCATGTTTAATCTGTCTTTTCATATCAACTAGTAATTAGTAATTTAAACAACTGCAGTACCGGCAGCTTATTGCTGATAGAAGTGCCATGTTACTGACGACTCTTGGCACAATATAAAAGTGCTTTTATTTAAAATTAACCACATTATCAACCTAATTTTTTCAAGGATCTTGCAATTAACATGACTTCTTAGTGAATCAAGGTTAAGAGTCATTCTCTGGGATTCTAAACTCAAGGAACAGATGATTTCTATGAAGGTTAGGTGAGAAGCCATCAGGCAATGTGTTTAAGTGACCTAGAAATTATGGTTAAAGCACTGTGGCAACTGTAAGAAATTGCCACAGAGCTGGAAAGGGGAAAAATGAAAAAGGAAATAGAAGAGTTGTTTCTGTGCTGCTGTGAGGGCAGGGAGGTGCAGAGGCACTCCCAAGGCTCCTCTCTGGGGAGGTGGAAGGACCTGGCTCCAAACCCCATGGACCATCCAGGAGAAGCTGCTGCTCCTCAGCCAAGGTCACCCAGCTGCAGTTACACAACAGCTCTGCCCTCCCAGAGAGGCTGGGGAGAGCAGGACCGCAGGGCAAGGCACAAAAGCCAGCACTGGGAGCAGTCACTGAACATTAGCTCATCTACAGAACCCAGTTTTGTGTTCTCTGCCTCCAGAAAAGACACAAAAATTCCAGTTCTCTTAACCCTCAATGAAATTCAAGGGCTATTTTACTAATTCTGTCATGATTAGGAAGGTACCTTTCTCTGTCTTCTGGTTTAATGAAAAAGGACTCTGCTAAATGCAATTTGCCTCCTCATCTCAGATTTGCTCCAGTAATAAACAATCCTGTCACTTCCACAGCTCTCCTGATAATGCTGCAAACATTCACATGTCTGAGTCAGAGTTCTCAGGGAGACCCTGTAAGGCACAACCTGCACATCCCCACACAACCAGGGAGGAATCTCCTTGCTGGAAAGAGGTAATACCAAATAATATATCAAGATATATTTCCCTCCTATTATCACCATTACCCTAATTATTAAACCCTGAAAAAGTCATCTCACAACAGCATTTGTATTTTGTGCTTTTAGGTTCCAAATATGATTTTTAAAATGAACTAAGACAATCAAGAATGAGAGTAGGACACTAAGTCTGACCCCTCAATACAATTTCTTGACTGAAAACTTTTCCCTGCCTAGTTAGGGGTGGGAAATCAATACACTGGGACAGCATCCACATGATTCAGAGCATCCCATGTGATAGATTCTCATGGTTGAAGGCCTTCACCAGGTATAAACTCCTGCAGAACACAATTTCTAGTCAGAAAGAACAAGGAGCAGAACAGCTCTCATGTTTGCAAGTAATTTTTTAAACAAAGAACTGACAAATACTCAGAAGATAAAAACTAAAATGAGAAGGTATTCTCTAGTTTCATCCACTTAATGCATTTTACAACAAAGGTTATTTCCAAATTAAAAGTCTTTTCCTGTCATTCTGAGAAATACTGTGGGCAAGGACACAAAAGCATTCCACAGCTGTATTAACGACAAGGCTCACTGATCTGTGAATAACCTGAAAAAAATGAAGATTATTGAGTTACTTTACCAATCTATCCATCCATCACTAGTGAACAGGTCTCAGAATGATGGATTATCTCACTTCCCTCATGTTTATCCCAAGACAGAGTTTCTCCTTAGAGGGAAAAACAAACAACTGTTCCTACAAACAATCCTGCTAACTCTGCTTGCCCATTTTGCATTCATCTGCCAACAAAGTGAGAAGAAATATATCAAGTTTGTCTTTAAAGGCCAAACTACATTTGAAGTTTTATTATTTCCCTGAAATGCAAGTGAAAACAATTAAGAGGAAAGCAGCACTGCAGCTACTGGTACTATTCAGCATTTTAGTACAACTCAAGGAATAGTGATGAGTTGTCAGTAATTCCAATTACATTTTCTGGTCCAAAGAAATGGAATAATTAAAAGTGATAAGAGATAGATAAATATGAAAATTAGGTATTTTGAAATGGAGGACTGAACTTATATCTCACTATGATTTTTAAATCACCTGTGATTGTTTCACATGTGCTGACACTCAAATCTGTCACACCTGATTGCCACCAGGAATTCAGACTGATTGAATTTCTCATTAATTCCTCATTAACATGCTAAATCATACAATTTACACACAGAAAAGTTCTGCATCTTGCTAAAATGCAGAGACATAATACTCATGCTTAGATTCAGCTGAAAAACATGGTGTGCCCAATTTTTAATAAATTACTGCAGTCAGGTTTCCTGAAGTCCAATCTTGATTTCAGACCACTAAAACCTTCCTAGATTGGGGAAGGGACATAATTGGGAATTTTAAAGGACCTGAGACTACCCCAGAAGCTCTGACATCTCTAGCAGGTAACAGTGCACATGTAAAGGTAAAACTGACTATTCATTTTTAAATATATACAGGAACCCTCAGAATCAATCACACTATCCATCTTATCTCAGCCTGGCCTCTTAATCTCCCTGTAAATATGGGCACTGAAAGAGATGGAACTGTCTTAATCAGATCTTTCCTCCATCACTAAATTACTGCTGTCACTGTCACGGAGACAGAAATTACAATTTCAGCCAGAATCTGCAGGAACTCCTACAAAGGGTAACACTGCCCAGCAAATACACAATGGGAAAGCTGCAGGTCTGTTTATAGGAAATGTACATTATTAACCAACTTCCCATGAGAGTCAGGGACTCACCAACTCCTCTGGCCAAGCAGCTGAGGGTATTCCAGCACCTACTGCCACCTGTCAGCTTTTGGGTAATTCTTTGGATAACAAAGACACAAGAGACACATTGTGTCCCTGTAGGACCTTTGTGACATGACATAGGGGACAGTCACCAATTCCCTCTGAAAGTTCACATGGGGAAAAACTACTGCTTCTCAGAAAGTCAATTCCATTTGCATGTCCATATTTGCATGAGTCCAGAGGAAAGGATCTGAAACCAAACTGAAGGGAAACTCTGCCTGTTCTGCCCCAATTCAGTGTGTTCACAAAGCAAACAGCAGCAGATGTAAAAGCTTATTTGGGTTTTCCTCAAGAATGAGATATTATTATATTCACTTGTACTTAACACCAGACTATTGCTACATCATTAGAAAGGAGAGTCAGGACAGTTTTGTACCAAGAAGGAAGCAAAGGAAGCTGTTAAGGGCCTGAGAAGTTTTGCTTGTTTTTGTCAGCTCAGGAGAGCAGGAGGCTCCCAATGACCTTCCTTGTTCCACAACTCCAACTGATGGAGACAAACCTCCCATCTGTACCTCACCACATTGGGATGTACATTACAGTGATATAAAAGTTTAATTTTCTCTCCTAAGCCATCCCTGCTTAAACCAATAAAGAAGGAAGAGCGCTTCTGCCTGCTGGAGTGTCGTCAGCAGCTCCAAAAGGTTGTGGTGTTTATGCAGGACTCATTTGGGATGCAAGGACTGACTTCCAAATGTCTTTGACTCATTCCCATCAATATGCATGTGTGCCATTTATAACAGTAGCCTTGATGAGAACACACAGTGTAACTGGCTGCAAGAAACGCTTAAGAGGTTTACATTAAAGCAGAATATAGAGCAGTGGTTAGAAATCACAGGCCAGGTGACACCTTCCCCTGATAAGCTGGTGATAAAAGCTGCAGCCTGTGATCTATAGGCTCTGCTGCTGCCTCTTTACTCCACAGCCCCAGCAGCATTCTTCACATACGGCTCACTCTGAGCAAGACACAATCCTGAGGGCAGAACACCTTTAAAAATTGTGATTAATCTCAAAAAATATTATGGTTGCCTCCTATTGTTCACTTAAAAAGAACAGATAATTTAAAAAAAGTTTTGTATTAGAATGTTTGCAATACAAACCTTTTAGAAGTGGAATTACTTTTTGGCTTGACAGATTAATTTGCTCCATCCAGTAAAATACCCTCTTTGTTGTAAAAGTTATACATTTTAGCAAAAAAACCCTAAAATGCAGCAACCAGTGATCTGAAATAGAAAGTTCAGGCCATCTGAAGAACTCCTGTCATCACAGAATGATTTTCTGATAAGAATATTTATAATACTTCTAGACACCTCTACTGCTAACTTGAAATATACTGCTGTTACAGATGAGAAAACTGCATGTGCTGGTTATTAAATAAAAAATAATTCAGCTAAAGGGATTTTGAGAATGCAAGAAAAATTACACGGATAAGAATCTACAGAGGAAAAAAAGCAAGCCAAATTTTAATTTTAATGATTAAATTTACTTTTTTCCCCCAGGTATTTGAAGCCAAGGAAGGCTGAACTGCCAAAATTGTACTACTTCAATGGCTCTGATAACATTGTGATTTATTAATCTCTGGTCACATACAGATACCTGGCCTCACATGAAGTCCTATAAAGACACAAAGACATCCATAAAACCCAGAAACACAAGCTCTGTTGCATGGCTGTATGCAGAGTAGTTGCCTAACCCCAATTCTTGTTCACAAATTATCTGTCCAATCACCTAATTACACAGGTCTGCACTTTAGCTCTCCATATAAATACAGCTCAAGGAGCAGATGAAAGGTACTGACAAAAGATGGCAGCAAGTAACATTTCTATTCAATGGAGCACAATTATTCCAGAATGTTTCTATCAACACATAACTGCATCCATCCTTTACACAGCCCAGCAGGATCAAGCTGCTGAGGCCATTCCTCTGGCAGTAATTTAGGGACTGTTCTGGAGAAGAGAAATGGAATCCATCACAGAGACAAACAGGAACACCCAACAACCTGCAGTAAACCACAATTTCATAGTAGCACACATGTAAAAAGCAGAACTTGTCCAGCACCAAACAAAGCAGGTAAGACCCTGCACTGCTATTTAAGGGACTGATGTACAAATATATCACTCAGACAAACTGGCCTCACCAGGCAAAGCTGCTTTTTTTAAACAGAGCTAATGTTTACTTCAGACCTCCAGGTTACCACATTAAACCCACATTGAGCAGATGGAAAGGCTGCTTGCCAGCAAAAGCAAAGATGAAAAAAACCCCTCAGCCTTTTAAAAGGCAGTTGAACTGTTGGAAACAACTGAAATGAAAACCACCCACCTTCTGCACCCAAAAGCACCCAAAAACCAGCTCTGTGCCAGAGCCACGGGCCAGGGACACCTCAGGAGCAGGGACTGCACTGCCACTGCCACTCAAGGGGATCTTGGGGAATCCTGGAATCCTGGGCTTTTTTGTTTTATTTGCTTTCCAAGGCTCAGGGAGTGGAGAACATATGGCTGCTGTTTGGCATGTCAGAATGTAGCAGTGGCTCAGTGAAACAGAACTGCATGGGATCTCCTCTGCTGTTCAGTTCATAGGAGCTGGAACCTTCAGTCTAGAGAGAGCTACAAAATAATGTCATGATTTCACAGCAATTGCCCTGCTTGTATAAAAGTCTGTGATGTAGAAAGGTTTGTTTTAAATGTAATGGTAAACTGGATACATGGCACTATTCTTCTCTTTCAGAACAATCCAGTTCATTACTAAATATAGACCTGTGAATTGTAAATGAATTCTCAGCATTAATTAGTAACACAAATTGACAACATGGATCTTCCTGCAGCTTTAGGGTAGACTCACACACAAAATTTTTTAACCTACTCAAATGCACAGTCACTCTTTTGGACAGATACCTCTGAGTCTCCTCTGTCAGATTCAAAAAGGGGCAGCTACATATGGGTTAAATTATGGCTTTCTCCTTTCCTAGCCCTTATTAACTTACTCACAGCAGCCACCACAGCCAGCAGCTACTACAAGCTGCATTTGTAAAACAATGAAAAATGTTGCAAAGCAGTGTCCTAGTGAGTGACACCTCTTACAGGACCAGGGTTTCCTTTCTGGGATGTGTCTGTGTGAGTGAGGCTCACCTGCAGAAGCACTGTGGGATCTCTCCCTGCCCGTACAGAGGGAACAGGAACGGGGTGTTGCCGTAGCGGCCAAGGCACTGCAGGAATTTTTTTGTGGCCTGAAGCCCTTCCAGGGTGCTGCTCTCAGTCTGTGCCACCATTGCAATGGAGTGAAGGATGAAGTGCTGCAGGCTGGGGGTCAGCTTCCGTGTCTGCAGGAACTCAGCAAACGTCCTGGACTCGTGTTCTGAGGGAAAAGCACAGGAGGCACTGAGCACACTCCAACATCTGCACTTCAGCTCAAATAAGTGCTTTGGATTTCAGCAAACAAGAGCAAGTGAGTTTTTCAACAAAATCCTTACTGAAAATGGATCATACAATCAATGAAAGTTAGATAAATACTCCCAGAAAGTGAGTTCTCAGAAAACAAACAGCACTCCATTAAAATATTTCAAAATATCACAAACTCACTTTATGGGTCTCCAGTGGCATCACCTATTCATTGCTAGACTTGATCTAACTCCATTTCCCAGCCCTGAGAGAAAAGTGACAAACTGTGGACTAAAATCCACTGAAGTGCCATGGGATGCTGTTCCTGTAAATTACCCAAAATATCACCCCAGGTTACAGCCACTCCAGAACAGGACTGCTGCACCCACACCGCCAGTGCCAGACTGGAGATTTGTGCTCAGAGAGGCCCCTCACACAGTGCCACAATCCAGAGATGAGAAGGTGCAGTATTTATTTCAATTTGATCACTTGCTGGCAACAAACAAATGTGGATGAGACAGAGAGCAGAAAGGGATCAAGGACTCCATCTTCCCTTTAAAATAATATTATTGCTGGCACATTTTGAAATTCAAAGAAACACAAGTCTTCTGGGAGATGTTTAAAGCGTGTTGGCATTGATACATCTCTGAAAAACTTTTAGCCATCTTCATAACAGAAAGATTTTTTGCCAGGAAAAGATTGTATTTAAGCAATAGCAGGCTTCCATACCATTCAGAGATCTGCTCTTATTTCAGTCCTGGATAAATTCCTAACTAGCTCAGAGCCCAATATTATCAAGCTATCTATTCTGTTCAAGATTCAACCACAGCTTTATTACAAATGTATCTTACTGCTCTTTGTACAGCCATGCACAAAGTCATAAAATGACAGGGTTTTTTTTGTTTTATCATTCTAAAACAATTCTCAAGTTTTCCTCACTTCAAACTTCTTATATAATTCCATATTTTACAGAAAAAAAAGCTTTAAAAAATTCTTCACGCTCATGAACTCATCCTATTAAAAGTCTGCCTTCCCACGAATGCAATGATCTCATCAAGAGCAATTTTAAATTTCTTAAGTTTTTACATTAGCCTAATCTGACTCAAAATATTCTCAATTACTTCTCAGGCTATTTTAAAATGTAGGAACAAAAACTGTTTAACTGTCTCTGTAAGTAAAATAAATCTAATGTTATTTAGGTACATGAATCAATGGATTCATTTAAAATTGATATGGCATCTCCTTTTTTTTACTTAATAAATTTTCTAAATACCACCAATCTCCTCACTCTGAGCACCTCCATTTCTTCCAGCAGCAGCAAACTGAGATCACCTGTAATCAATAAACCACTTCAGCCTAATGAGTTTTTCCCCTTCAGGATTTTCTGGAGTTCATTACAAACTCTCCTTTTCTTAATCTCACCAGATCTTGATACCGACGGTTCTTCTCTTGCATGTGTTCAATAATTTTCTCTGATGTTTGTACTCCTCTTTCCTCGGTATTTCTTTTTGACAGATTTTTTTTCTCTTTGCCTTAATTTACTTTTAGACTGCAAGAACTGAGGACACCACTTCATTCTTTGTACCCTGAGGAGCACAAACCCAAAGCCCCTTCCTCCTGTTGAGCTGATTTCCCTCTTTGACCCGCGGCTCGTTATTCTTCACACATTATAGCTCAAATCTCTTCTGATTTCCTCTCATCTAAATAAGCCAACACTTGATAAAAGCACTTGGAACTTGCCCTTTACAACTAAAGAGCATTAAATTACATTTACTTTCATAGTTAAAAAATTCCATTTTCTCCATTTCTGATTTGATGTAAAGCATTGTGAAGGTTTACCTAGTAATCCAAACAAACAGACAGAAAATTCAGATACATCACGTTCTTTTAAAAAATACCTGGGGGAAGGGAGGAAAACGCTTAAAAATGACAAAAAGCATTTTGCAACCTTGCTGTAATATATAATTTTGCTGTTAAAGAAAAATGTAAATAATAAATGATGTGGGAACTAGAAGAGCAAGTGCTTAAGTAGAAGAATTTAACACTGAAGTGAAAAGGTCACAAAAAGGTCAAAGCATACTTTAAAAATGAATCTGTAAAAATAAACCACGTGAAAACACAGGAGAGCTCTCAGAACTGTCCTCCCTGAAGGAAATCCTGAGAAGGGAGTGTGCCTTGTTCAATGAGACACTACCTTGGTATTCCTCAGGGTGCTGTTCATAGTCCAAACAAAATGTCAGAAATTTCATGAGCATTCTCTTCTCCACCATGGTCAGCTGTCTGCTGTTGAAGACATCTGCTCTGGAACAAGGCACCTGCAAAGTATTTTTTAATAATTTCAGATACTTTCCACACTTTCCACACTCTGGATGTAAAAGCATCAAGCAACAACAGTTTGATTAAATAACAAATATTTCAAATTATTGTTTCCAATTACAGCTATTTTCTTATATATTTATTTCCCCTAATTTCTATTGTAACTAAAGTTACAATATTTTTTTCTAAACTTACAATAAAGTTACCAATTTTCCACAATAAGAATTTTTAAAAATCTTTTTTTATTTCCCTTCAATTTCAATTGCATCTCTAACTGCAGAGATAATCACTTGAGTTTGTATTCACTGTGCCAATATCTCCTGTTGCCATTATCACACTGACTTCTCTTCTATGTAACAAAGACAAATCAAGTCTATGTCAGACTAAAACCTAAATCTTTGAATCTTAAAATCTTTAAAACCTAAAATATTTGAATCTTCAAGAATTATCTGCCATTCAGTCATGGCCTAAACATTTAGCCTGAGGTTAAGATTTATGTCAATGCACTGGACTGCACAACCTTATTTTAGTTTGGTTTGATTTTATTTTCATATTTCTAGATAACACATACAAACATATTTTCTTCCAGAAATTAAATTAGAATCATAATTAAGGAAAAAACACTCAAAAAAACCAATTGCAAGCTTCTTGACTTTCAGGAGCTGAGATGAAACACATGCAGCCCATGATTTTCTGGTACCTGCTCCACTTTCCCCTCGCGGAAGGCGAGAACCCGCGAGGCGTTTTTGAACTCGGCGTATCTGCTCACGTTGGACTTAATGAGGAGGTCAATTAACAGGCCCCGGGAGTAGAGCAACTGCACAGGAGCAGAAAGGAACTACTGGGTGAAGAGGATCAGTGAAGCACCCAACAAAATCCTCACCAGCTGCTCCCCAAATCCCCTGAACCAAGAGGCACCTTTTCCACAGGTCAATTCCACAATTCCCAAGCTAAAATTTAGTCATATATAATTTAATCATCTTTCTAGAAACTACAAATATGATGAAATACAAAAGGGCCAGAAATGTAATTATGAACTGAAAATGTTTGTATTGAAAAGTCTCATGGTCCTGAGTAACAGCCTTTGCAAGACCACACAGAGACTTTCTGGATAAAGGTTTCCTGGGACACCAACAGGACACTACAGGGAAGCTGATGTTCCCCTGCCAGGGAAACCCCAGAACAAACTCCTGGCCTTGCCCTGCTGACCACTCTTGTGGCTGAATTTCTGGGATTTGCTGCAGTTAACACCATGTCCCTTTAACAGAGTAAAAAAGGATACAAAACAGCATTATCTGCTTAACTACCACCCACTGACTGGTGTTCAAGATGTCATTGTAAGGATGGCTGGAGTGGGATTCACATCTGGAACATGAAATTTGCAATAATGATTTCACAATGTCTTCACAAAGAGTTAAATGAGTTAGTGAAGAGACTTTCTTTTTTGGTTTCCAAAGATTTGAAAAATCTTTTTAGGCACAATATGTAAAGTGAAGCATTCAACTTTGAAAAAATTTCCCTGTGCTGTAAAAAACATTTTTTATCTTTTAAAAAAGATAGAGCAATGCAGATTTTGTTTCTTGTTTAAAAATACAAGTTTTTAACGGCACTATTTAAAATGAGACATTTTAATGGTACTACCCAAATGCTATATTTCATGACATTTATTTCAAGGCAATATTTCTGAGCTGTGTTTTTGGATCTCTTTGGTTATAAAACACTTAAGGTCACATATTAAATAACTCATGTTTGTTTTAGTGCTAACAATTCTTACTTCTCAAGAGTGGCTATTTTCCCTCAAAGGTGCTTTAAAACAAATGTCAGCATTTTAAGCAAAGCAAATGTACTTACACAAAATAAAGTCATTCAGTTCCTACCTTAGAAACTAAATCAATATTAAACCTTCTGCCTTCTCTAACGATTTGGGAATAGGTGATTTTCTTTGGTTCTTGGGCAGCATTTTCAGAGGGTGCAGCTTCTGCCTTTGCCGGTTGTGGAGCGGAGTCGCCGTCGGCCGTGCTGGGAGCAGCTCCAGGGCCAGGGGCTGCTCCTGCCCCGTCCCCTGCAGCTGCCCTGGCTGCCTCAGAGCAGCTCTGGGGCTCCTCTCCAGGGCTCTCCACTGCTGCATTCTCTTTCTCAGACCCCGGGGAAACCTCCTCCGCTGCAGGACTCTCCTGTGATCCCAGAGGAATCCCCATCTCTGCTGCAGGACTCTCCTGTGATCCCAGAGGAATCCCCATCTCTGCTGCAGGACTCTCCTGTGATCCCAGAGGAATCCCCATCTCTGCTGCAGGACTCTCCTGTGATCCCAGAGGAATCCCCATCTCTGCTGCAGGACTCTCCTTCTCGGGCCCTGGGGACTCGCCCTGGGCAGCAAGGGCTCCAAGCACACGCAGCTTTGGCAGAGCACCAGCTTCTTCAACACCTTCAGCTGAATCCTGACTGATTAAAAACACAGAGGGGAAAAGGAGGGGGGAAAAGTTTTTTTGAAGAGTCTTAAAAACTTGTTTGAAGTTTTGAGTCGGTGCCAGAGCAAAAACCTCAAGCATTTCGAGGAAAAGCATTAGAATTTCTTTATCCTGGTCCATTCAGGTATTCCACCCACTAACAAACTCTGGTTCTTTGGCTGCAAAGCTATAATTCAAGAGACTATGTTTATTGAGGAGTAAAAACAGCAACAAAAATTTGAGTTTTTACTTTACATGTACTTAAAAAATAGAAGGGTCTCAAAAAGAAAATCAAGGCCCTCATGGTGAAACAATATACAGTTACTTAAACAACAGAAATGGACTATTTTGCAATAAAAACAGTAACTTGATCAGGTGTTCCTTATGGATTAAAACCCATGAAATTGAAAAGCAAATATGCATGAAGGTTATTAAGCTGAGATACTGTCCTGAAGGAAACAGACAAGCTTTACACAACAAGCAGCCATGATCCCAGCAGGGCCATTGAGAACCAGACCACTTGGACCCAAAGCTTCAGCAAAACTTTCAAATTCCTGTTTTAACTCTGCCCTTGCATTCTAATGAGCTGTTCAAGCAGCAGTGCTGTTTTGCAAGTGCTCCAAATCCATGCACAGGGCATGAAGGCAGCCAGTCACAGGAGGGACATTCCCACAGAACATTCATTCTGCACAGTTCATTTCCTGTCCACAACATTTCTTTAAAATTCCCCTCATAAAGCAGCCCTCCACTTTTAATCTCATCTTCTTGTTTTATGTTGAACTTCAGTGACACCTCCCTGAGAAAGCAGGACTTTTGAACTTGGTTTAGTTTACACTACCACTGAGATGAATCAAATCAGTGTCATTGCAAGTGAAAGGAGTTCAGCAATAATTCCAAACCATCTTTTTATCTTTCTACCACAAGCCATTAATGCACTGAATAAACTATTTAATCTTGCCTGAAAACTAATGAACTATGATTTTAAAGGTGACCTGCAAACACAGAGTCTTAACAGGATGGTAAAAATTCCCAGAACAGCAAGGAATTACTCAGCACCAACACCAAAATGCTCCCTCACACACCTGCAGATGGAAGCAGGAGCAGGATTTCTGTCCAAAAAGAAACAAAACCCTGGGATCCTTTAAAAATTGCTCCTCATTTATGAACTGATGGAGCTCACATGGACTCATGAAAAGTTTAGAAGTGATCCCCCAGCTTGGGCACAGTCACCAGGAAGCACTTAGCTCATGACTGGGTAAAATATTGCCCTGGGAAATGCAGGAACTGCTCTAAGGAAGCACTAATGAGAGAAGGCTGTTTCTGTACATTAATTATGTCTTTTTGCTTCACATTGCCAGCATTAAGTAACTATAAAATATCAAAGAGAGATAAGTACTTTGTCAAATGTTGTTCAAAAAAGCAATCACTGCTACAAATAAAAATGAAAGTCAATTAAATTTTGGGGTTCTATTTGGATTTTGGGTTTTTTTTAAGGATTTTGGAACACAGTGTTTGTGAAAACTTCAAAAGCTCTTCCCAGAAATTCAGTAACTAAAATGAAGCTTTTATTTAACTCATCCTAAACCTTTGTAACACAAAATTTCAGAATAAGGTTTTCTTTCTAACTTCTCCCAATCTCAATGAACAGTTAATCTTATTTTAAACATACTTGATTATTACTTTTTAAAATCAAAATAAACTTGGATTCATATCATCATACACTGTATTTTTCTATATCACTCTGAAAAGCAGTGTAACAGAAATATTTACATATTTTAAATCTCTATTCACTTCCCATTAAAGAATAGGTAAATCTCCATGATTTGCAGCTCCACAGATTTTATAATGAGAGCCCAAAAACTGTATATAATCTAAATTCATGACACCCTTCCTATAGGACCAAATATCCCTGAATAATGTAAGAACTGTCTATAAAAATGACTCAAATTGAACTTCTGTACAGACAATTCTTCTCCTAATTCAGAAAAAAATAATACATCTGCAGACAAATTGTTGTGTAAATTTAGAATATTATCTTCCACCATTCATCAATTAATGGTACTAACAAAGGAATATCTTAAAATGAATGTGTCTTATTAATGCCTTGTAACAGCAACCCCTTCAGATAGGTCAAATGAAAAATTGCCAACCAGCTGGTTAATTTATTCAGCACAGGTGTTCACTATTTATTTTTCAGCCATTTGCCTTTTTTCAATCCAGCTTGTTGTAGACACAGTATTCCTTCCCTTTGATGGATGCACTTTGTTCTAAGGCCATTCATTTCAGATTTGCACTGTGTATATTATACTGCTACCCAGCTGTTTATTCTTTCAAAATAAATGTTTCATGGTTACTTCATAGGAGTTACAAAAGTTAAGCAAAAACTACAGAATCTAGGCAGAACATGTAAATTGTCAGAAACACAGTAATTGACTCTCAGAAAGTTTCAAGTTCTTTTGGAGAACTTTTTCTTTGCCAGGTTTATTAATTTATCCTTGTTCCTTGGGAGAAATGGGGTTTTTTTTGGTGATGACCAGGACAGACAGCACTGTACTGAGCTAAGTTGAATGCTTAAAAGCTCAATTTTACCCAAGTATAATCTCACTTCTAAGTGTGAAATCTCAGTGCCAGGGGATTCATTTGGGAGCCAGCTATCACTCAGAAATTATACACAAAGTTAAAAGACTACAAAACCTTTCCATCTGATTTAATCCTGCTTCTGAACATTATTTATTATGACAACAGGATGACAATTACAATATCCAAGTGCTATTGCTTTAAAATAAGCATTGCATTTTATCTGCAATCCAGTCAAGCACCATTACTGTGCAGCACTGAACCTTGGAAGAGTCTCAGTCTGTGACCTTCACATTGTATTTATGTAATTCACACCTTTTTTCCCCTACTTATGGTGTTTACAGGCAGAAACACCATCTGTATTTCTTTACGAGTATGTGGCAGCATTTCATTTAGCTACCTATACCTATGGTACTTTCTAAGGGATTCAAGGTTAAGTTTACAGAACTATCTCAAAGAATTTCCTTTGAGGAATTCTGGAGAATGTTCAGTTCAGTACAAAATCCAGAAGAGAAAAAATAATAAATAAATACACAGTTCAGTTAGTTATATTTATACTCAGTGGATTTAACTTCACTAAGTTAAATTCATTGCACATAAAAAGGACAAAGGGAAATATGACTTTATCATTTCACCACAAGTATTTCACAGTTACAGTACTGTTGTCCATTTGTGTTGTTGTTCTTTTGTATGTGGTTCATTTTACATGGATTTGGGGGGTTCATTTTTGACTATGAGAACAGCAGCTTTTAGGCAAATTAAGAATGGAAAAATTTAATTGATGGCAGTGCACAGCTGCCTACTACTACCAATACCTAAACACAGCACTTCTGTTTTGTGCTCAGAAGTAAATCACAAACTCACAAAGTTGGCCAACAAATTACACGGCACCCAGAGAGGCCATTTAGGATCAGGCTGTTTCAGTGAATTGATTTCACCAAAGCACAAGGACATGAGAACATTTCAGAGGCCAGGGCTGCATTTTGAGACAATGTGTAATATGGCTGCATGGTGAAACCCTTCAAACCAAAGCACAATATGATCATTTACTCTGGGCATGCAAAATTGCTCATGAATTTGTACTTTTCTACTTACTCTCCAAAACAGAAATCTTCTACATGTTGAATAGTTTTATCCTTGCTGCTGAGAGGAATTGCTTCTTCTTCCTCAAGGATCAGTTTTCTCCAGTCCTCACACTCATCACTGAGATCTGCCTTTTGCTTAAAGAACAAGTATAAAATTACATATTGTACTGTGCAAGCTGTTCTTGAACTATAAATGTCTCTAGACACAAATAATATGTACCATCTAATAATATAAGGGAAAAATAAACCCTGATAACTGTCCTAATGTTTTTGGTTTTTTTTTCTATTTATGTTTTTTGAGTGAAAACACTTAGAGCTGGTTACTTTATCACACCATGCCAACATTTGCACTACAGCACTGGCTCAATCTGAAACACAGAGTTAAATGAAATAAAGGCTTCAGTAGAGAGCTGAATGTAACTTGGAATGCAATCTCCTAAAAGACAGGTTTGTCACAGCCAGGGTAGGTCCAGATTCTGTGACAAAACTCTTTGAATGGAAACCATATGGAAAAACCTGGTGATCTGGGGGATTGTATTGATCTGTGTAGGAATCCCTAAATCATACAACACAACTCCCAGAATATGAAGCTCTGGCACTGAGCAAGTGCCCTGATGATGCCAGGAGGCAGCACAGTGTAAAGAGCAGGGTGAGACTGAGCTGAGGAACTTCCACCTTCTACAGCCCACAGGCTCTGAGCATTTCTGTAAATAACAGAGCAGCCCCTGCTAATCCAGCCCTGCTCCTCCATCTCCTGAATAAATCTCCTCCCTGCAAGATTTCTAGGGGACTGCCATGAATCAGATAAACTTTGGTCATTGGAAAATACACTATCAGCATTCATCTTTTGGTCCTGGTTACAGGACATTTCAATGGGAGGATCCAGCACCCTCTTTTCTGCCTCTAGGGAAGAATCAGCTGAATACAAACGAGACAAACAGAAGGGCTGAAACATCAGAGAGAGGAAAATAATCCAAGAGGGAATGGAGAAACCAGATTATCCTAAAGGAACTGAAACAATGGTGTAGATGCTTCTCTTTAAGCTCAAGAAGGCAGAAGTGTGGCTGAGCACCAGGCTGGCCTCATTCAGACTGACAAGGCAGCACAGCAGAGCCCCACACTGCCAGGCCAGATGGGTGAGGCTCAAGCAGCAAAGCTGGGAACTACAAACCTCTTTGATCTGTCAAATCACCAAAGAGCAAAAGCAGGGAGGTGATTTGTCTTGAAATAAATCATGCAAACAACAGAGATTCAATGGTAAGGAGGCCTAAAAGAAACAATTTGGGAAATTTTTACCTGATTTTCTTTAATCCAAGATAATAATCCTGAAAAACTAAAGCTGGCCCAGTTTCCACCATAGTAATTTCTCCTGTAAAGAAAAAACAAAAGGAAAACCTGTTGGACAGGTAAAACAACTTTCCCAGATTTAAAGAAAAAAAACCAACCAAGTATGATACATTCAAAACATTTTACATGGCAAGATTTCTCAGATGCAGAATAGATAAAAATTAGTATTTTGCAAATTTTCTATTTTCCTCCTTGCATGCATCTGTGACCAAACACACTACAGTCCAAAATCAAATTATTTGCAGGGTAAATGGATAATGCTGAGAACAACACAAGGGATAGTGTGAAGAAAAGGAAAATAGAGATAATACTGCATTTTGGCCAAGACTGGCTCTCTTATCCAAGATGTCAAATACAGGACAGTGCAGTTTATTGTTTATCTACTGCTTACACCACAGATTTTGCCTATTACAGACTGTGAAGCTGCTCTGGCAAAACACTCACTGAACTGCATGTACTGCAGGTGGAGCCAAAGGAACTGATTTGTACCAAGTGATCATCCCTCCCTGAGCACTTCCCAGTTTCTACTTGCCACCTTCTTGCTTGCAAAAAGATTATTTACTGCTTTTAAATCACAGAAAATTAGTAGTTCTGCTGTTAAGCAAAGAAAGTCTCTGCTCTCTCTTTTTAAAATTTCTTTACCAATATTTCTCTAAACATCTGTTGGATTAGTTGGCTTTTGTTGTCAGATGGCATTGCACATCTTAAATACTTAACAACTCTGAGAAGAAAAATAATAAGAGTAATTACATTTTAAAAAGTCACCAGTTCTTGCAAAATTAAAGTTATTTCAGGATTTAACTCTGTTTTCTGGCAATGTGTAGTGGCACTTCAGAAGCCTCAAAGATACCAAAAATACCCTCAGATAGCTATAGGGAGGAAGATAGGGTTTGCATTTTAAAGAATAATGTGAAGGCTGTTAAATCAATCTTATCATAACCTCCTCCACTTTTAAATTGTAGAGATCAGTGTGATACCAGTGAGAAGCTAAATTCAGGTTAGATTCTCCTGCCTAGATTTACAATGGGCTGCTTTTGACAGGGCTGATCTGCACTGACAGAGCCTTCACAGGAGTGTCAGCCCCGCTCAGCACCAGGGCTCTGCTCCGGACCTCGCTGCTTACTTAGCATATGAAGGACAGATGTCTGCTGAGCACTGCTAATTGCTCCTGACTACAAACTGACCTAAAAAAGCCTTTCAGCTCCTGCCAGGCAATAGTGAAGAACATAAATAGGACATCTTCTGCAAAGACAACAGAATGCAGCATTCACTGAATGAATAAAGGTGGCTCCAAGAAGGGATGGTGTGGCAGGTCCTGCCCTGCAGAGGGGGCAGCACTGGGCAGCACAGCTGCTCCTGCAGATGGGTAACACCCAGAACACAGCAATGGGGATTCAATCCATGCCCTGAGCAGCACAGCTGCTCCTGCAGATGGGTAACACCCAGAACACAGCAATGGGGATTCAATCTGTGCAGCACAGCTCTTCCTGCAGATGGGTAACACCCAGAACACAGCAATGGGGATTCAATCTGTGCACTGAGCAGCACAGCTCCTCCTGCAGATGGGTAACACCCAGAACACAGCAATGGGGATTCAATCTGTGCAGCACAGCTCTTCCTGCAGATGGGTAACACCCAGAACACAGCAATGGGGATTCAATCTGTGCACTGAGCAGCACAGCTCCTCCTGCAGATGGGTATCACACAGAACTCAAAGCAATGGGGATTAAATCCATGCCCTGAGCAGCACAGCTCCTCCTGCAGATGGGTAACACACAGAACTCAAAGCAATGGGGATTAAATCTGAGCACTGGGCAGCACAGCTCCTCCTGCAGATGGGTAACACACAGAACACAGCAATGGGGATTCAATCCATGCCCAGAGCAGCACAGCTCCTCCTGCAGATGGGTAACACCCAGAACACAGCAATGGGGATTCAATCTGTGCACTGGGCAGCACAGCTGCTCCTGCAGATGGGTAACACCCAGAACACAGCAATGGGGATTCAATCCATGCCCTGAGCAGCACAGCTCCTCCTGCAGATGGGTAACACCCAGAACACAGCAATGGGGATTCAATCCATGCCCTGAGCAGCACAGCTCCTCCTGCAGATGGGTAACACCCAGAACACAGCAATGGGGATTCAATCTGTGCACTGAGCAGCACAGCTCCTCCTGCAGATGGGTAACACACAGAACACAGCAATGGGGATTCAATCCATGCCCTGAGCAGCACAGCTCCTCCTGCAGATGGGTAACACCCAGAACACAGCAATGGGGATTCAATCCATGCCCTGAGCAGCACAGCTGCTCCTGCAGATGGGTAACATCCAGAACACAGCAATGGGGATTCAATCTGTGCAGTACAGCTCCTCCTGCAGATGGGTAACACCCAGAACACAGCAATGGGGATTCAATCCATGCCCAGAGCAGCACAGCTCCTCCTGCAGATGCTCCCAAGCAGGAACTCCAATCCTCTGCAACAGGAGCTCACCCTGACTCTGTGACTAACATGGTGAGTTCCACAGCTATTCCTGTATGTACCACACAGACCCCAAAGCAATGGGGATTAAATCCATGAAATGCCCAATTCTGTGAGATTTCAATCTGTAAAAGACACTGACAGTTCCATGTGATGGTAACTTCAAGCTTTGTTTAAGCTGTCAATGGTGCAAGGTAATTTTTTCAGGTTTCTTCAGATTCTACAGAATAAAAAATTCAATATCCATGTATTACCTATCATTTCAGGGATTTCCAAAAACCATGAAGATTTATTTTTAAGGAAATGTGCTGCTCTGGTTGCAAGTTCTTGAATATGGAGTACAATATACAGCTGCTGGAGCAAGCAAGGCCATGATCACAGAAATCCCAGAAAAAATCTGCCTACAATTAGGAGTGGGTTTCTTGATTCTCCACCTATATTAAGTCATGCATATTTAGACTATTTAAAGTTCAAACTGTCAGTAAGAGAAATTAACATTATTTTCACAGAAAGTTACAAAAGTTTGTTTGTGAGCTGTCAGACATCTTTCATGTGAACATTCCTCTTTATCAGCTTGGATTTCCTTTGAAATTATTTGTTTTACCCAGTGTTGAGTCAACCTAAAGTGTTGAACAAAGCACTGCACGACCCTGCTGTGGAGCTCCATCCATTCTGAGGAGCTGGCACAATCCTCTCCAAAGGAAAAGGAACCAGAGCTGCCCCTCCTTGCCTGGTGTCTGAGCACCCTTCCCAAGCTCTGCAATGCCACCTCACATATTCATCTCCTCAAGTAGCAACTTCCAGATTTTTTTTTATCCTGGAATTTTAATTAGTTTCCCTGCACTAAATGATGAATCAGGATTGCTTAATTTTCTCATCTGAAAACACTAGAGAAGGAAGACAGAGCAGACATGATTACTGACATAATGAGCAAAGTTTATAGCAAGTCTTGAAGAGGAATTCTGAGAAGAGCTGACTAATGGTTTTACAATTAGGACTCCTTTGTAACCAAATATTTCTGTTAGAACTGCCCTGAAGATGAACTGAGGAGTTCCTTTAAGTAATGGTCAAGATCAAAGCCTAATTAATGCTAAAATATTGTCCCAAAATCTCCAGGCCAAAGCTCCCCTCTTCTCTTGCTATATTAGCACACTACAAAGATGGATATTCTCTCCCTTTTTTAGGGCTATAATTCAATTATTCCCTAACTAAGGACAGGAATCATTTTGAAGGTGCAACAGCACAGGTGGAAAATACTTTTTCTACCAAGTTAGAGCACAGATGTTTTCCTTCCCTACCATACATTAGTTCCTAAATTATATTTGCTCAGGTCCTCCCATGTTACCTGGATTTCACCTGAATTACAACACTGCTCCTTTCCCTTAATAATTTTCAAATCTCTAATCTGCAGTTCAGAGCTAACAGCAGAAAAAGTTTTGCAAACTTTTGGAAATGTAACTAAAGTACAATTTTACCTCTGCAAATACCTTGTCTCTTCTCCTATGTTACATTTTCACTTTTTACTTCAGTTACCAGGACTGAAATAATTGGCAAATTCCAATCTGGAGCACTGAAATCACAAACTGTTTCTGACTGATCACCAATCTGAATCTGAATGAAGGAAATATCTGAAGTGCCCCCCAGGGTGACACCCAGAGCTGCTGCTGCTGCACAGAAGCTGCTGACGCCTCAGGATTTCCCCCAGAGCTGCCTCAATGTGACTGTCCTGCCTCTGATCTTGCAGAAGGAAGTCCTGAGCCATCAGAGCAGCTGTCCTTTGCTCAGGAACTTACTGCCACATCGATTTTAAGGATCTCAACACAAAATGATTTGTGTTTCAAACCCATGAAGTTTCCTGTGCCACCTATTGGTGCTCAGGCAGACGTGTTAGAGATCCCCAGGCTGGCCAGTGATGGGGTTTAGGAGCTGCCTGGCTTCCAAGAGGGGTTTAACCCACACAGCTCCTGAGATCCTTCAGCCCAGCAAAAGGGTGGGCGATGGTGGCAGTCACTTGTGCCACATCACATTATATCCTGGGATATGGACATGACCAAAGGGAACCACCATGGCCCAGCTGAGACCATGTTTTACTCTCTATCACCTTTGCTGTGAGACTGCATCCTAAACCAAAATAAACAGAAAAAAGACTTGTTCAAAAAAGCTCAAAAGATACCAGAATTAACAAAATTTTTGCCTAGTTTTCCTTATTGAAATTAAATAATTTCTTTGTTTTTCTTGCAAGAAATTGACTTGCTTAGAGCAGCACCTGTTTTGCTCTCTGGCTGCTGTACTCCCACAGCTCCCTCACCTCTCAGCAGTTAAAGATCCAAAAGAGGGCTGTATCAACACACAGGGTCTATTACAGAATATATTTTGCAAGTTCTGAAAAAAAAAGTGAGATAAATTGTCTAGCAGGATGTGGAACAAACTACAAACAGGGATCTTGGACTGGGGAGGTACAGGAGTAAGGCCCAGCACAGTTTTGGATGCTCAAATAGAAAATTTTGGACATAAGGAACACTCAAGCGCTCTACAGGCTAAGTAGTCAAAAAAATAGGAAAGGTAACAGGTGTCAAGAAGCAAAACATGCCCAGTTTGCTCTACTTCTCCCAGAAAATAAAATTCTGCATCTTGACCCTCCTTTGCCTTTGAATTAAATTCTGTGTGGAAAGATAAATAAGCCAGTGAGGAAACTGCAGCCTACAAATGTTGTATTCCAGATGCTGAATATCAAATATAAAATGTATCTGAACATGCCTCACCCCTAACTGCCCCATCCCCAGTAACCAAACTGGGGCATAACTACAGATACAGAATTAAAAGAGGCAAATAAACAAATGATCAAAAGCAGAAACTTGAGCAAGTGGTCAGGAGAAAATCTTCTGCATGTGCACAATTAGTACAGGAAGCATATTCACTTCAAGTAATCCACTTTTAGTCTTCATCTACCTTTCTCCAGCAGCTTCAAATTTAAACTAAGTGCCAATCTCCACATTTTAAATTGCAAATTACTTTTCTAAATCATTTAACAAATATCCTTGAAATTTCACATGTCAACAGCTCATTAATATCTACAGCAAATGTAGCTCTCTGAGAAGAAGCACAGATTTTATGTTTATTGAGACAGATAGCTGGCACAGAGAAATAGAGCTCCTTCAATTACTAGTTGGCAGAAGCTAACTTCAGTTTAAAATCAGTCTACAGCAATTTATGGCAACACTGCAGTGAAGTGACTATTTTGAATAAGATTAGCTACTGCTGATGGCAACGCTTGGACAGTGTTTATAAATCAAACTCAGAAGTCAGTATTTTATAATAGGCCACTTCAGAACTATCTCCCATAATCACCTATGCAGTATATTATGATAAATGCAAACATGGCTGGAGATTAAAAGTAATAAAACAAGGTACACAAGGTAATGAGAGCAGGTAAACTATAAACAAAGACTTTATGCATATATGTGAGCAATATCTGGTGCCTGACTTACTCAGGCCTTTGTTCCCTGCAAAGATTAATCAATCAGAGTAGCACATCTAACACAGCTATTTCAGTAACCCCAAATCTCATTTCTTTATGAGAAAAAATTTAATTAATAATTCTGGTAATTAATGAAGGGAACAATTTACTTTGCTAAAAGGTAATATTCATCATAGCTAAAACCAGGCATGGATAACAGAAATCAGAGTTCCAGTGGCCAATACTATTACAGACTTTGACAGCCAATGAAAACAAAAAACTGCAATAACACAAGTCATTCTCACCAAGAGAATGGGATAATTACTGTCAGGAAGGAGAACCAAGGCACTAAACCTGCAGCCATTCCTGCCTGGAGCAAAGCAGGAGCCATCACAGCATCCTCCACCACAGCACTCATGCTCCAAATCCCTGAGCCAGCTTCCAAAAACTGCCTGCTCTATTGATGGAAATAACACCCCCAAAACAAGGCAGAGACAGAAACATAACATTACTTGTGCCAGAGGAAGAGACAGGAGCGCTGCCCACACTGCCAGAGCCACAGAAAGCCCTGCAGTCAGTTCAGCCCAGAAAGGGAAGTGACAGGAGGAACTTACGAATCCACGTGCAGAACTCTCTGGCCACTCCTGGCACACGCTGCTGCAATAATGGACTCAGGCAGACCTGCAATGACACAGGCAGCTTTCAGAACTCTCCATGCAGGGATGTGTTAGAAATTGCAATAATGGTACAACTTGGTCAGAAGGCAACTCAAACAAAAGAAATTTTACAATGTGAGTCACTGAAATTTTTAAGTCTCACGCTACTAAAATAATGAACACTATTCTGTGCTCTTTAACATTTTTCTGAATTAAATGCAACTTTATTTTTATTTTTTTAATAACTGTATGGAACATGCATACCACTTGCAAACACTACTAAGTTAAAGCTTGGCACCAGCATCTTCTCTCCACACCCTGCTCTCATAACCACATTGAGCAATTGCCAGCACAATAACACCCAAAGCTCAGTGGGGTGCTCTGTACCCACATCCTTGGTAATGCTCACAGGTATTACCTGAGGGCATTTCTGTTCACTTCAAAGTGAACAAAAGCACTGTGATTGTCCTTAAGAGTGGTATCCCTATCAAAATCTCCCACATTAGGCAATTACACTCTACCAAATCAGTATGTTTTCCTTATATTTAGAAAAAAAATGCAGCAAAAAAACACACCAAAAGGCTGTGATAGCTCTGCCAGCAATACATGCTTGGAATGGCACAGGATCCCACTGGAACTCAAATAAATGGGGCTGTTCTGTACTGTCTGCTCCCACTCACCAGTTTCACATGCCCAGTTCCATGCCTTGGATTCTGGAGCAGGTTCAGAGAAGCAGGACAGCTCCCCAGCTAAGCTCTGTGGCACTAACCTCCCTCAAATCTCTTTTGCAATGATCTGTTGGCTGTTTAAGCAAGTAATTCAGGATCAGCAATTAAAATCCCAGGGACTGGTATTAAAGACACTTAGGCCATGTATTCAATTAAGGGATGAGATGAAAGGAAGTGAAAGGAGCTTTTGGCTGATCTGATTTCCAGCAGCACCAGAAGCAGCTGCAGAGACAGAACTGGAAGGGGAAGAAGCAGCTGTGGAAGGGCCCAATCCACTCAGGCTCACTCCATGACAAACAATGTCCAGCAGAATTCCAGGCCTGTGCTGTCTGCTCCTTACACAGAACAGTGCCTTCACCAACAAATAAACCTTGCAGTTTAGGAAACATCCCCTGGGAGCTGGGTACACAGGCCACAGCTCCACCAACTCTTCAAACCAGCAAAGGCCAACAGAATCATCAAAATAAAGAGGTGCAACCTCTGCCCTCATCATCTGCCCCTCCTGACCTCCTTCCAAATCAAGTAAATGGTCAGTTTTTGGAGAGCAGTTCCATGGTGTTGTCCAAAAGCATAAATATTTGTATCAATACAAAGAAGGAAGTGTAAGACAGGCATGACACATTTTCCAGGAAATTAGCTACAACTTCCCTGCAAATTTTCTGGTCTTAATGATTACTTTTTCAATGGATTTTTTAAAAAAATCCTGTTTTGAACTGATAAAGCAGAAAAAGTGGAAATAGTTTTGTATTGCTGACCTTTCACAGAAAATGAAGGTTTATCACAGAATTAACCTCCAGGGCCAGGAGGGATGAACAGTTGCAGCAGTTCCTGGGATGTTTGTTTCACAGCCTAGAAAGGCCAAAAGTCTTCAGAGTTGAATTTTTGGAAACAAGAGCTCATAACACAGACCAGTGTGACCAAGGAGAAAATATCTAAGTGCAGCACACACTTCAGGACTGCCATGAGACCCTGGCTGCACACAGCCATTACATGAGAGCTCCACACTCAGCTGGCCCCCAGGTTTATATATATGGTTCATTTTGCTCCCTCTATAAACTATCTGGAATAGAATCTACAACTACTCTGTGTTTGGAGTTCCCAAAAAAGCTTTTCTTTCCCTCATTGGGGCACAGAGAGTATTACTCTAGAAATGGAATTGAGAAACTTGTTTCTCCTTCCTTATTGATAAAAGCCACTGAGAAAGTGTTGTAAAACATCACCAGTGCTGCCGGGCTGACCGGGGCCGAGTTATAGCTACCAGGGCATAACTGATTGCTGGAAGCTTGATCCAATTGATACTATGCTGGAGGTCTGTTCTTCCATTAACCTTGGATGAAATTGTTCCCTGAATTAGCTTCCTCTCTCTTGAAAGCTGGCATCAATTTTCTTCACCCAAGCCTGTGATCTAAGACACTGTGGCCCCCCACATAGCCAGTGGTGAGAGTGGAGCATGGCTGGCACATCCCAGCTTTGGGAGAGGATCCCAACAACCTGCTGGAACAGGACACCCTTTGCTCTGGGGGACAACACCTCAGGAAATCCAAGAAATAAATAAGACTGTCACATGGCACCAGTTTCTGAATGCTGTTCTCCAACAGAAACAAAGGCACAGGGAAAAAGGGCAGATTTGTCAAATGCAAGTTACTTCTATCTGTGACCTGTATTGCATGGTGGTTACTGAACAAAAGTCTTTTCCAAGAAAGAGGGTTCTGGACAATTACAATACAATTATACATTGTCCTTTTCTAGCTAGGAAAAAACCTAACTTGGAAAAGCCTGCTTAGAGAAATGGCAATTTATGGAATCATGGATGGATTTATTTCATAAATGGCAATTTATGGAATCACAGCATGGAAAGCTGAACTGCCTCTGACAGGATGCTCAGAGAGTTGTGCAAAATAGGTTCCCTTCAGATAATCCAGTAACAGAGAAATGTGGTTTTAGAAACTGTTCTTACTTGGAAACAGCCTCCTGATCTGAACTTTGATTGCTCAAAAGCCCTAAAATGGATTATACTCAGGCTGTGAAATGTGCTTGGATCCTCACTACCAGGCACACTCATCCTCCTGCGTTTGGCTTCCCACTGGAAAGAAACAAAGGGGCAAGCAGACTGAATTGTAACATTAATTAGCTCTAATTAAACTAACAAACATGGCAGCATGGCCACTTCAGTACACAGAGGAAACTGAGGTTTGTACCGATGTTTCTGTATAACGCCTGGGAAGTGCTGGGAGAGACTGCAGGGCTGCCCTGGGAGCAGCTGCGGGCAGGAGGAGGGAGCCCAGGAGGGGCAGGAGGAGGAAGAGGAGGAGGAGGAGGAGGGAGCCCGGCAGGCAGCACAAGCTGAGGGCTCTGGGCACAGCCTCTGCCTCAGGACAGTCCGTGCTGAGCTGAAAGGTTTCTCTGCACAGGCCCCTCCCAGCACTCACCCTCAGTGCCACTGCCCCATCCCAGCCCTCCTGGACACTCCACAGGCAGATCCATCCCCATAAATCTCAGAGGTGCCTCTGCAAGCTGACCTTGAAGTCTGCATCTGCTTGTTTCCAGTAACCTCTGACCAAGATAATCCCCATTACATGAATTTTTGGAGATTCCCTATGAAACAAAATCAGCCATACTCTCATTTTCTAGAATAGTGTTTTAGAAGTAAAAAAGAAACAGAAGAAATAGCTACACATTATTTAGTTATCCAAAAACCAATTCTATTTTTAGTTCCAGTACAACAAAATTAAAGTTTGAGATAAACACTAAGGTGGAAAATTTAATTCCGTTTTAAAAGCCAATTAATTTCTGAAGTCTTACAAAATAATGAAAACTTTTAATTCACCTCTGTGTGACCAAAAATTAATTTTAGGCTTACACATTGTGTGTCCTGCTTAGCAGCTGTACTTGCAGCTCTGGTGCTGCAGTGCCTCTTGCAGTGCCCTGAAAAGGGCTCAGCCACTGCCCTGAGCAATTTCCAAACTCAACAGCTCCACATCTCTGGGAGCATCCTGGTCCTGAGCTGCAAACTGCTCTGCAGTCATGCAGATGATAAGTTTTTACTGAATTACACAAGATCCATCTTGAAATGGCTTAAATGTTTAATTTGCTTCACTCCATCTACTAAATAAATCACAAGTGGCTTTTTCATAATATAAAACGTTGAAGGGAAATATATAAAAATGTTGGAACACAGACAATTTCAAAACAATCTTCTGGAGTCAGAGAGTTCACCAGCTGCAATACATTTTGTTTGCATCTGAACTTCTAAGTAGAGAAGAGCAGCTGATTCTTGAGGAGCTCACTACAGAATACTCATGGTGTGGTTTTGGTATATGTGAAATTTTAGCAGAATGTCATAATTAACTGCAAATTAAAATAGTTCTTGTATGCAATATTTTAAGATAAAGATGACTAAAATGTATTAATTTTAATATTTGCCCATATTGCAGAGCAGTATCAGAAAATATTTCTGCATTACAGAGTATGGCACAGAAATGCCAACCCACTAAGATAACATGTTACTGGTCAAGAAAGAAGCCACAAGTAAAAAGTGAAATTGCACACACTTATCTGTGTCTCACCACAGGAGCTTGGCAATGAAAACCATTCAATCTCACAGCTGGTGTAAATGAACATTTAGGAAAGGAATACAAGCACCTAGGCTTGAAATAAAAATTTAACTTCTTACTAAAAATTATACTCACACCAAGCAATGCTCCCCAGCACAAACTACAGCTCAGAGCCTAATCTTGGGTTTAAAGCAACAGCAGCAGACAAAGCAAAGCACTTGAATTAAAGGATCTGTATAGCAAGACACATGCTGAGCTTTATTCTCACTCCAGTCTTCTAATGCTTTCACTTCTTTTCTGCTTCCCCACGGGCAAAGAGCTTGCTCTCCTTGCTCCTTACATTTGTAAGCATTTCATGAAAGATACTGAGGAAGTTTTCCTCCTCCTGCAGCAGCAGCTCCCTGGGGAGCACCAGGGGCTCTGTCCCTCCCTGGGGAGCACCGGGGGCTCTGTCCCTCCCTCCCTGGGGAGCACCGGGGGCTCTGTCCCTCCCAGGGGAGCACCGGGGGCTCTGTCCCTCCCTCCCTGGGGAGCACCGGGGGCTCTGTCCCTCCCTCCCTGGGGAGCACCGGGGGCTCTGTCCCTCCCTCCCTGGGTGCTCAGGCCCAGCCTCAGAGCAGCTCCTGCAGCAGGACTGGACCCATTCCCCAGGCAGCAGAACCCATTTCCTGCTGGGATGCACAAACCTGGCTTTCCACTGCCCCTCATTCACACTGGAATTTCCAAGTACCTTACTAAGCCTTTTCTAAAGGAGTTTTTCACCTTGATATGCAGATGACCTCCTCTGTATTTTTCTCAGTAGAGTCCTACAGGCTCTGGTTCTGTAGGATCAGCAATATCATCTGGAAAAGCTGCAGAACACAGGCTGAGAAGGACAACAAAGGGATCAGAGAACAAGGAGTTCTCCCACAGGAGCAGCCAGGGACACTGCACAGCACCTGGGAAAGAACCTGCCTGAGGTACCAGAGGGAGCCTGAACCTCGCAGGCAGCACCTCTGCTACACCCCAACATCCACACTGGGAGCCAGGCCAGAACACAACCCTGCATTTCAGTCAGGTTAAAAAAATCAGTAAAGAAGAAAAAAGTACATTTACATGGGGAGAATAGTGAAAAATGAAAGGGGGACACACACAGAGAGGACATGGGACAGGACTGTGAGTCAGTGTTCATTTTGTCTGACATTTAAATGGACAGGCAATGACTTATCTACAAATGATTATAAAATCATTTATATTTCCTCCTTCCAGACACCAACATGAAAGTCAGTGCCCCTGTGTTAGTCCACAGTGACCACTGACGTCAGAAATATCCATCTTCAGCTGGTTTTCCATTGAGCTTTCATCAGCTCTCAACAGCTGCTGATATAAACTGAGGACTGTGCAGTTACATAAGATAATGCAACCAAAATATCAGCCCAAATGATGTATTACAAAATATTTTTGTCACGTTCTAAAAATATCCTGCAACAATGAAACTGTTAGGAATTATTATTTTTTTATAGCAATCTTAAGTGTTTACTCTAAAATTCTCATCTGTAATATTTGGGTTAGTTTAGTTGTAAGGTATATTTTTTAAATTGTGTTAGTATCTGGAAGTGATTTTCCCTAACACACTACACTTACCTAAGATAAACATGAAGTACTTACACCACTCCCAGCACATCCAACAATAAATAATAGATTCTCCTGACAGGACTTTGATGACCTGGCAAAGCCCGAGTGCTTTCAGCCAAAATCATATGAAACCATAAATCACTCCTTATTTTATAGAATATTTCAAAATGGATTCCTGCTTTCTACCTTGAAAGTCATTTCATGTGTTATTTATAACCACTGAAAACCAGAATGGAAAGAAAATTGCATAGAACTAGAATATTTACTGTGACTGCTTTTATAAAGAATAACTCTTTTTTAGAAAAAAACCCTAGAATTACTGGCAGACAAACTTGTGAATACAACACCTTTCAAAGAGCCATGTCCTTTACAACTTTCCCAGCAGTTAACACAGGTCTGGGGGAGTGTCAGAGACAAGAAGGCCAGACTGAACACAATCCAATTCCCTGAGGAAATGCCAAGGTAAACATGACCTTGCACCTGTATCCACACCACTCCGCACAGCCACAAAGTTGCAAATCTTGGCGCTCACAGGGGTTTCTGCCCTAAACTCAGCACTGCTGAATGTCAAATAGGGAAATTCACAGGCAAAACAAAGGTCTGCCACTGACCCCCAGTTCTGCTTCTAGACCAATGAAAACCAGAGAGAAGAGACGTGCCCAAAGAGCAGAGCTGCTGTGAGGACTGCTGATCCTGGAGAAGGTCTGCTTTGGCCAGGAGCCACAAATATCTGCTTTTGTCAGGAGCCACAAATATCTGCTTTGGCCAGGAGCCATCCCACAAACCCAGCCTGGCTGGTGGGTACCCAGAGCTCAGCACTGGGCTCAAACAGCAGGGACAGGATAGGAGGGACTGGGGCAGAGAGGGAGGGGAGAGTGACCTGGAGGCTGCAACAGAAAACAAAGTAGAGCAAAACATCATAACAGCTTTAATTCTCGTACTGTGCTGGCCATGAAAAACCTCAAGCTATGCTCCTCAGTTTCATGCCATGAGACAATCCAGTTTTCTTTAGAACTATGGATAGAAATCCCATGATTTAGCAAAACTTCACCTGCTGTACCCACCAGGAGTATTTTTGTACCCACATCCACCTTGCTCTTAACTTGCTCATGCAATAAAATACCTGAGTTAAGGAAAAAGAATTTCTTCTAAAGAAAACTTCCTTTTCCCATAGCAATATTGATGAATTAATTGAACCTAGATATTAACTGAAGCACTGATGGCTAAAATTTAGTTGAGGCTCCATTTGCACTAAGCTCACTACAGGGAAACAGTTAAATGAGCCTGAAATAAAAACAAATTCAAATCTTATGTTCCCACTCAGTCTAATTACTAAATTTAATAGATGCACAAGTTATAAAACCAGGAAAAGGCCACACATGCAGAAATTAATACAATTATTACTATGCATTAAAAATACCATTAAACACAAACATTGCAATTATCATGGTATGACAATTGCATATTCATAGGTACACTCAGCACTGGTGACAGCAATAGAAATAAGAGTTAAGACTGGGATAAAATATTCCCTCAGGAGCCACTTCCCAAAGAGAAGACAGATGAGAGTTCTACTCTGAACAATCTTCCATACTGAGAAATGTAATACAGATTAAAAACCCTCAGTCACTCCCCAGTGCTAATCACCACTTGTGTATGCTCTTGGTAAAAAGGAATGCAAGGACAAAACAACTCCTGAAGTGCAGAACTCTGAGAACCTTGAATTAGTTAGAGCAGTACTCTCTACAGGTGGGCAAAAAGGCATCCTGGAATTCAAATCAACACCCCCAAATACAGCAATATTTCAGAGAATTCAGCTGAGAACCTCCCTCCTGCAGCACCAAAGCTCCAACATCACCCCTCACTCCAAAGCAGGAAGATTGGCTTTGCTGGCTGCACATGACCTGCTCTCTCTGGCACAGACAGTCCTTGTTCCCTCCATGGCTGGAATGGTAAATAGCTTAACATTAACACCATGGCCATAAACCTCTGAGCTTCGGCATATTTACCTCATGGCAGTAAAGAATGGATCATCCCCAAAAATCACAGAGTTATACAATGTTTAATATTTCACCCTTACAGTTTGATTATCCAGCTTCTCATTATTAACCAACCTTCTCACACACTCAAAATGTTCTCAAATCTGAGCACATATAAAAAATGTCAGATTCATTACTGCAAACCACTCCATAGAACAGGGTTAACACACAGAAGGGACCTCTTAATTTGCTCAAGAACTTAAATTTTGCATTTTTAGCACAGTTTTGGTGAAAACAATGGGGGCAGTATGGTTTTATAATTACTCAAAAACTCCAGATATAAATCAGAAATCTTTTAAACAATTGTACATACATTGTATGGGGATTGCTTTTTTCTGCTGAACACTGAAATCAGCAGTTTCTTTAAGAAACTCACTCATTCAATTTCAAAGTGCTAGGAATCGTAACTCCCAGGGACATAATTTCACAGATCCGCAAGCTCCAAAACGAGAGTTACTAATTTCACATGGAAAACAGTAACATTTAGAATTTCCCTTCCATTTGTGCTCCAAACAACACCCTGAGCTCTTTACAAAGGCAAACAAATCTGACTGTAAATTTGGGACCTCTAAACAGTGTTGCACTTTAAGACTAGAACTCCATGCTGAATTTAAGGCTTATCAAGACCAATCTGAACTAGGTCACTCTCACTGGGTTTTACCAATAGAAATCTATTCCAATAATTCAAGATTATTTTGCTACACAAGCACCAAGAATCTGAGTTCTGAAGGAGTATTTAAAATTTTCTCTTGTAGTTACATTGAGACACTCCAGGTGTCCATCATTATTCACATGAACAGGATGAAGTTGTACAGGATACAGAAAGTGCAGAAAGATGAGAATTAAGTGTCTGGCTGTGTAATCATTCACAGACAGAGAAATGTGCTTTAATGAGAAAGACTAAAAGAGTTTTCTGTTATTTTTAAAGCAGGCATAGAGATTAGAAAAACTACTTTGAAGACTTAAAACTACTTGTATTGCAGGATATTATAAAAAACAGATTATCAGCCTATAGCACATATACTGCAACGAGACAGAAGTTCAGCTCTTCAGAGCTGTTTTCCTTGCACAAAAGCAAACCTGAGCGGCAGGATGGGATTTCGGGAATAAGGGCAGCCAGGGGAGGCAGAGTCAGTCAGACAAAGCTTTCCGAGGCACCAAAGGAGCCCCCGATCTCAGGTGTGGTTTGTGAGGTTTGTGCCCGGTCACAGGGCCGGGGGTCCCAGCAAATCCTCCTCAGGGCCAGCCGCACACGGCCCTCCGTGACACCTCCATTTCTCCATTTCTAAGCAAACCTGTCCATGGCAGTGTGAGCAGCAGCCCTGCAGCCGGCTGCCATGCCCGGGGCATGGGGACAACGTCCAGGCCGCTGTCACGGACGCGTCCCCGCGGGTACCTCAGCAGCCACTCGCACACCCTGCCCGCCCTCCCCAGACGCCGCTGCCGCCCTTCAGCCGGGGATCCGCGTCCCCCCGCCGCCCCTTGGAGCTTCGGCCCTGCCAGGGCCGGCGCTGCCCCCGTGCCCGTCCCGCCCCGTACCGGTGCCCACCACCACCACATCGAACTCTGTGGGCAGGTTGTCCGCCATCTTGGGAGGCGCCGTCACGCGCGCGCCGCCGGCGGAAAGGGCGGGAGCGGCTGCGGGGGTTCCGGCGGCGGCGGGAGGGAGGGAGCGGAGCGGCGGCCCCGCCTGAGGGAGCGCTCGCGGAGAGAAGAGCGGCTGTGGCTGAGGGAGCGGCGGCTCCGGGGAAAGCCCAGGGGTTGTCCTGCGTCCGTCCCCTTATAACCTGCCGGCCCTTCGGCTTCGCCATCCCTCAGCGCTCTGCTGTCCTGCTCATCCACTGAACCAACCCTGACCTGCCATACAGCAATGCTGTGGGATGTAGTAGGGAATATATATATATATATATTTATTTATTTATATTTTTATATATATTTATTTATTTATATTTATATTTATATGTATGTATCTATGTGTATATATATACATGCATATACACAGAGTGCCTACATCCATCAGTAAGCTTCTTAACTACAGTCACATGGCGGCATTCCACCTACTGAGCCAAATCGTTTCATTGCAAGCACGTGTGTTTTTGTATGACTTACGGGTCGATTTGAGGAAGAAATTATAAATTGTTCCCTGGCAAGGTGGGCAGGCCCTGGCACAGGTGCCCAGAGCAGCTGTGGCTGCCCCTGGATCCCTCGACATGTCCAAGGTTGGACAGGGCTTGGAGCACCCAGGGACAGTGCAAGGTGTCTCTGCCATGGCAGGGGTGGTACTGGGTGAGCTTTAAGGTCCCCTCCAACCCAAACTATTTTATGAACGCCACTGAAGTTTCTTGGATGACCATTTCCTCAGAAACAACAAATCTCACTTTTATTATTTCCTCTGCATATTCACTGTTTCCAAAACAAATTATATTGTTTTTTTCAATCTTGTTGCTCACTGTTCCTTATTAATATATCCAAGAAAATATTTTCATCATTGTTTTTAAAAAGTTCCCTTACCCCCAATCACATTTTTTTTTCCTTTAGCCAACGCGTTAAACACAGATTTAAAAAGAAAGTTATTAGTGTTAGCTAGAAAGTTTTATCAGTCATTAATTTCATGTCCTTTCTTGTTAATTAACAGATAGATGTTTGTCTGTACTACATTTTCTGCATGCAAAACCTTTTCTTTTTTTCTCAGCTCATTCATTAACTCTTTCCCTCTGGAGCCCAAAGCCATGCTTTAGTCTTGCTCAGTCTCTTCTTTCACCTTACAAGGAAAAAAAGGGAGAATCAGGGTTAAAATCCAGATTCTCCTGCTTCAGAGTTGCCCCTTCCATAACACCATTCTGAGTGTAAGAACAGCAGGACTAAAACCACAGATTGGAAAAAGCCAGATACAGCAATGTAGGCTAAATAACCCAGCACAGAACACCTGTGCCAGAATATGCTGGAAACTTCTGGAAACTTTTTCTTTTTATGCCACATTTAATGGCTCATATGGCTTTAAACTAATCTCTTAATATTATTCATTGTGTATGATTATATTAGAGTCTTAGCACCTTAAATCAATAATAACAATAAACCAGCTAGCAGCCTGTTAACACCTTATTACAAGCTCCTTGTTCACATAGCAAAAGAATAGTGAAAATAGTAAAAGTGACTAATGGAAACCAGAGGCCACGTTACCCCTGTGGTACTGCCAGACGTGCTGGAGCAGAGTGCAGCACAGAAAACAGTCCAACAGGAAACTTCCAGCCATGCAGGAACAAAAAATAGAGATTTAAACAGCAGCACTGGCTCACTGCACTGATAAATATGTGACAGAGAAAAGGAGGAGTTATGAGTTCAGGTAGAAAAGGAGTATGATCAAGTTTTAAGTTCCTTATATTTATGTTTCCAGCTGTCCCAGAGAGATTTTGATTGAAACTTCCATTGTTTTATTGTTCAATTTTGATTAAAACTTCCAGCTCCCATGCAATTCCATGGACAGAGCTGTCATTTCTACTTTTTAACATGTGAAAGAAATAAAGCTGCAGAGTTCTCACAGTGCTGGATCATCCCTGACCTAAATGTCTTGTGCTGAGGAACAAAGCATCACTATATTGGTGAGATGAGATAACACAAACTCCCCTTGCACACCCTTTTCCTACTGAGGGAGGGCACACTCAGGAAGGTCTAACATCATCACGAAACCCTTTTGTTGCTGCTCAATATAATTCTAGGACTGCACTGGAGCAGAGCTATTCCACTGTCAATGTCTCACTGTTTCTCAAGTGCTTCAGTATTTATCCCACCACAGAATGCTGTTGTTTGGTGCTGTGAGTTCCTGTTAGCTTCATTCATAGGATGCAATCAGTGCAATCCTATTTCGTGATGACAGTCATTATCCACTGGACCAGAAATCCTCCTTAGTACTTTTTATTTGACAAAAATGATTATTCAGGATCTTTAACTGCACGGTTTGTCAGTCCCACACAACACCAAAATATTTCTCTGTAGTTTGCAGTTTTAGTATCAGCAAATGTAGAAGTGAAATATATAAGTATGAATAATTTTTATGAGAATTTCATGGACCTTGAGAAAATGTCTTGCCATGTTTTTCTCTTTAGCTATTTAATTGCAATGTCATATTAACAGAAAGCAGCATACCCAATTCTGCATGGATGAATAAGCACATTCAATAAAGAAGATTTAACAGAGTAAATCAAACACTGGATTAAACATTTTCTGCATAACAGACCACAAAATGGGCATTCATTTTACCAATAGATCCTCTACATTAGAAACAAATAGAAATGCACACCAACGTAATTAAACTGCACATCCTGTGCCCTGATTACTGAATTTCCCTATATTTTGTTAAACTAGGTCTCATCAATTAGGATTGCCAAAATGCATTCCAAAATGCATACTGAAAAACTGAATGCAATTTTTAAAAACATTTGGATTAAATACATTTTTCCCTATGTTTTATGAAATAATTCCCACATATGTAGTCCTACATATTGCAGAGGATTTATACAGATTTTTTAGCAATAGCAGTTCAGAAAGGCGCACAAAGAGAATTTTAAGATCCCACTTTTAGCAGTTCTAAATACTTTTTCTGTGAGCAACTTTTCCAACTTTGATCTCAACCAAAACATCTCTCATAAAAACATGGTGTTTTACTTTTTGACTTTTATTTGGGATTTTCACATGTCCATAGAACTACCCTTGTTACTTTAAAGTTTGAGTAGTTAATACCTAACTCTGTCAAAATGCTTTTCAGAAGTCCAGTAATCTGAGCAAAACCTCATAAGGTCTGGAAGTGTTTTTGTTTTCCCAGATAGGAACACTGAAGTCTGAAAGAAAATTAGGAAGAATCAGCATTAGAATGTTGGAGTTTGTAGTTATCTCAAGATCTGGTCTCCCACCATTTGATCAAATGCTTCTTCCTCCAAAAAGAAATAGCAAATGCTATGATGAATTTTAATTTTCTTGATTTATGTAGTCTCCTTATCCTGCAGTGATTTCACGTGTGAATTCTCATTATTCATTCTATTTTTCCCTCAAAGGATACAGAATTTAATTCTCCTTGAGTACCAGTTTGAGTGAGGATCAGCAGCAGGATCGGGCCCATCAGCTGCTTGAGCCATCCAGTGAATAATCTGATTTATCCCAGGGAAATGGCTCGTTAGTTCAGGCAGCAGGGCAGTGTTGGTGTGCTTGGGGCTGCACTTGTGTGTGGTTTTCCTCTGCAGTTTGCAGTTCCACAACTGGCACCCACTGAGGCGTGCACACCCTGATTGTTCATTAACCACAGGAACAGCCTGGCCACAGCCAGGCGTGTTTGGGAAAAAATTATTGCTTTCCAAATTTATTCCAAACTCTCAGACAGCCTTGATTCCAACTTCCTCTTGTTTGCCATCATCTGAGTTTCTCTTCCTGTCACAGCTTGCAGCCTCAGTAATGCCCATGTAAGTTGTGTGACAGTAGTGCCATTAGACCCTGTGCTGCAAATCCTCACTGGGATGCAGACACTCGGGTCCCATGGATGGTATGAATATTCTTGTGATACAGGCCTTGGTAGATAAGTGACCTGAATATATTTTAAAAACTCTGAATAATTAAACCCACATTCTCTACCTAAGGAGCATTGAAACTCATTTTGAAGTTGCTCTTTTGATTACTAAGATGTGTGTAAATTATGGGATTGCTTACAGAGACTGGAAAGAGAATTGCATGTCACTTGACTTCTGTAACCATGCAAGGCAAAGAGTTTACTTTTCCAATCCTTACTTAATGACAATCTGCAAAAATTCTGTAGGTCTGTCATGGCAGTCAAAATTATCTTGTACAAAATGAACACCAAGGAGAAAAACCCCAGGATCACAGTTCTGATAATGCTGCTCTCCCAGTGTAACTGGCAGAGTATGGAAAGAAAGTTCCACTACAGCTACATTAAGGATTACCTATAGGTTTTATGGGTTTCCCAAAACTACAGGTATGCAGGAAGAAGGACAAAGTCTTTGCAGCAGCCCCAAGATTCAGGCTGGGTCAAAGCCCAGGATGCCACAAAACAGAGTTCAGTTCTTTCTGTCCTGGCAGTTCCACTATTTGTCCATTCCAGCATCTAAAAGTCTTGGTCAATTAGGATACTTCAGAAACTGTCAGTCAGAAAAAAGATTGGAAATAAAACAGATTTGAAATATAAGACTGCTGTATAGTTGTAAATGAAGATTCTTTAGGATTATGGTTTATTACAATTTAAGCAGGATTCAGTAAAGATGGACAAGTGTGTCTAATGACATTAAGTTACTGCCTTACTTCATTTTCAATATTACTTGAAGTAGTTTTATTGCACAGTGAGGTTTTCAGACTTGTGTTCTCTGAGTTTAGGAAAACTGTACCTTTTCCAGCACATCTGGAGACTGTAACTTAGGTAAGAAATTAATCTCTTTTCTCTGGAAATATTCCCGTTCTTTTATATATTGCATTTCTTTATTAATCTCTTTTGACTTGTTGCCACTTGATGAATACAGATCCTTCAGCCATTAGTGCATATTCCTACTTCATTACAATCAGCACGAGTTTTACCATGCAAAGCTCAGCCTCACCCTCTTGGTCCTTTCTGTTT